ATCAGATATTCGGTTAAACCCTACTAAAGCAGGAGTTATCCTCGTCATTACATCACTGTCTGTCACTATTATATCACTGTGATTTTCCACAAAACGATTTGATACATACTAAATTAGTACTAAATGTAACAGGAGCGACAGGGAGGAATAGATTAGTGAAGGTGACTTTGTAGATGTACCAGAACTTTTGGAAAAGTTTAGCAATTAATTGCCAATAAATGCACCGCTTATCTGTCATCTTGGGTAGATCATAACTACAACGCCGAAGTACTTCTTTGCGGTATTTTGCTGATAAGGCCGTATGTGTTTGACCGTAACTGTGCGTGTCACTCTTTGGCTAGTTTCATAGCTATCAGTTTTGTCATTGAACGCATACAATATAGCAACAACAAACTGCAACGTGGGCTAGACGGATGATTTCGAATTGGCGGCATTGGGTAAGCCGTGACCCGCTATAGCCCGCCAAATTTAACTGCTGTTTTTAAGCTTCACGCAGAGGGCTTGCGGGCGCCACAGTAACAACAAATAGCCAAAACATCGATGTGCTAATAATAATAATATAAGTGCCGTCGTTCAGTGATTTCAATGATGACAGGTGTCTAACTTAATCATATCGTTATTATGATTAATATCAGTATGACTACAGATATTGTTATCTTATTATTTAGTGTCAACAGGCAGGTTTCAAGTAGCAGATCAACATTTCGGTGAGTCAGCCCACACAAACTAAATGATATAGACACAGAGTGTGTGACAATAAACAAGAACCTTATCTATATAATTCATCACTAATCACCAGCTCGAATGACCCACAGAAAGCAGGCCTCCCCGATATTTGTGGTGACAACGGTACTAACCAGCAACTTAAATAGACATCCATTGCGTGTACTCATGGCCACCCATACGAAATTAATTTCCGACACGTTCTCCGTCTAGCCACTGGACTAAAACAAGAAGTTTTAGGCTCGTATCAAATTCGGGATGTTTAGAATTGTGTTTCTTACCATTACCAGCCATTATTACCATGCATTATAATAGATCGTTGTTAAATATAACTGTTCATTGAAAGGAATCCATAAAAATATTAGGATTCAGTGTTGACTGTGACGAGATTGCTTGTTGCATCTGGTCGTAATTGCTAGTGGGTGTAAATAAGGAAATTCAGCGAGACGGTGACCCAGACAATTGTAATATAACCAACTGCCCGCGTCGCTTCATTGCCCAACTGCCCAAACCAGCATTGACCGACGTATATCAATCAATCATTCTTCCGTTCAGGACTTTTCTTTGTTTTTGTTGTTATATTGTTATTAATTGCTGAACTTTTCGACTGCAAGCAGCTCTCGGTACATTTATAATATATATATATATATATATATATATATAGCCATAATAATGATAGCCACCATTTTAAGATGGATGGTAATAATAGACAAAAATTATTGTTGTTGATGCTGTTATGATTGAAACCGGATATAGGTGCCCTCGCTATCATCGCAGCATTGCATATCTAAACTATCTACATAAACAAGACACGCATACGTAGCGTATCCACTCACCTACATACAGAGTGAACTATGCGTAAAAACTGTGTGGTCACGCACAGACCGCCGTCAATCATTCATCAGTAATAGTAATTACTCGTTTTGTTTCAGTCACTGTACTTGTCTACACAATCCTTCCCACACTTTCACACGATACGCTGACGCACACCTAATGCCGAATGCACCAGGAGGCGCTAACTTGTGTAAACTCTTTCACTAATCAAACCTTTCACTTTCTAATTTTCATGACCGTTTCATTTTACCCGAGAATATGTGGAAAGTAGCAGCGCTATTAAAATCGTGCTTTCAATTATTTGACATAATCCTCTGAAATAGGTTACTCATGTCTAGATAATTTGAGCTTAAAAAAGCGCCATTAGAAGTTTAGATAAAAAAAAAATAGTAAACCACTGGATAATAATTAGAAATATGCTGGCCAATTCTATTGTTATACTTCCGAATTTTTTTTTTCATTTCTCGAAATGCCTTCCCAAAGAAAATCACTAGCCAATGTATAATCCTTTATTAGAAATGTCTATCCGACTAGCTTTTATCGACTAACGAATGACAAGCCGCTTCCGTACTCTCGTGAAGCTAAGGATCTCGTGACTTCAACCAGGACATAGTTCATCACCTCTAGGTAACAAGCGATCCATAAGCGTTTGTTCCTACAATTGGAGCAACAACAATAGTCTTTACGCCAGCATTTGCGATGCGAGCTACATTGTTCTCCACGTATTTTCTAGTCAACAGCACGGTTCTACGGTACAGCACCTGGGTCGCCTTTTCTTTTTCTTGTCAATCATCCCTCTAACCCACATTTTCAAATTGACCCTCTCTGCTCAGCAGTGCCGACTATTTAATAGCGCCACTCAACATTCGTCGTCGTTTCATTATCATCACTATTGTTATTGTAATCATCATTGCTGCTTTTACTACGTTTTATTAATTTATTTGTTGGTCTTACAAACCTCCTACTAGAGGCATGAATTTGTCGCGCTTTCGTTCGTTCAGCTCGCTTCGCCACCCTTGAACCACTGATTTTTCGTCTCTCTATTATCATTTGTGTTAGTTTTTTGTGCTCTGTGCTTTTCTGTTGCTGAGCCGTTGTCGTTTCGTGTTAGTAACGTTAGCATCGATGGTGGGTGTCGCTGATGTTCTATTAATTATTAGTAATTATTATAGTTATAGCTGTAGTAGTAGTAATGCTTATATTACTCTTTGTTCATTCATCCTTTTGCACACACTCGTTGCTGGCCTTCATGAACGAGCCCTTTAGTTTACGCCGGTCCTCATCAATGTTATCGTCGAGGTAAACAGGACAGCATAATCATAATTGTGTTAGTCTTCTGGGTCGCCATCTACTTTTACATCCAGTAGCATTTTATTCTGTTACTATTAAGACTGTGTCTCGTCCATTCTTTTTTCGATTCGCCTCTCTCTTCATTTTTCGCGTGATTAGCCTGGCCTTCTGTGGCCTATGGGACGACCTGAGCCTTGCTCATATATAATAATAGTAATAAGAACAAGCTAACATTAATCACGTCTCCCACCTTCTCCTGTATTCCATAATGTTCCTTTCCCTGTTTTCTGTCTGTTTGTCTGTCTATTTACGAACAGTCCGTTATTCAGTTTGTCAGCAACTGCTGCTGCCTTTCACAGATCTCATTTCAAAATTTTTCATTGTCATCATAATGTCATTTATAATAATTTGTCTTTCATTCGCGTGTTTTCTTTTCCTTTCTTGCTTCTAGTTGTCAAACACCATTCAGCAATCACGATCATTTTCCTAGTCACGTTCATAATCTCGTCATTATCATAGTCACTAGTTTATATTATAATTAGTATAGTGCTAATTACTACTACTACTACTGCTAAATATACACATGAGAGAAAACATTAACAATTTTTTACAATACACTATCATTATTTTCATCATCGCTCTCATCTTTCTTTGGCCACATGTTTATACTGACGTTTGCTGTTGCTGTCGTATATCTCATTCCTTATTATAACTATTATTAGTCCAAATTATTAAGTTTGCATTGTCTTTTTTTGTTATATATTAGCCACCAAGGTTTACTATCGGATTGTAGAGCCTCAACAAGCTCAACGGGACGCGCGTACTACGAAATATAGGCATGACTCAAAATGTCGACTGTATTGACATTTTATTGTCTGAATGCTGCGTCTGACTGATAAGTTCCGCTGAATTTTTGTGTTCAAGTTCATTGAATTATCCAGAAAACGACATGAAAGTACTTTTCGAAAGAGTAAAAAGTTGATGATCAGTTCATATCAGTACCTCCTTCGATCAAGCACGAGCATTTACCACTTGTTCGACTTCCTCTGATAATGCAGCATGTTTATGTGTGTGTGCGTGTGTATATATATACGTTAATGAACAAGGCAAATAAAATTGACAGTTAACCTGTTAATTCGAGAGAGATAAGTAAGCCCGCCACGTGAACGTGTTTATCCTAACACATAAATTAACATTTTACAATGCTAAAGGCATACGTCTAACTCAATTTTATTCAGCTCACCACCATCGTTATAACGAATCATCAACGAAAATTACGAGACGAAGAAGACGAACAAATTAAATGCGCAATCAATTTGAGACGCTGGTTGAATTTTGCTTTATTTGTTGATGTTTTTGTCTCCATAATAATTATTATTGTCATCTTGTTACCTGACTGACTATTGCTTGCTGCATACATACATACAGTGGTAGTGGATCGTAGATCAATAACATCATGACTTGGTATGGTGGTTCTTCTTGTGTCTATAATTATTTTTAATTTAAAATGAATCAACTATTTATATTATTTCACTTCGGGCATTTTTTGAAAACTCCAGCTTCTGAAGCATGCATTTTTTTCTTTTTTATCCTGTCACATCGCCTTGGACATATATGGCACCACCACAATCACTTATCACCTCCGCCCGTTTTCTCCATCACGTAACTGCAAACGTACACGTACACGTACACACAGACGCACCCACACAAACGGGCCTTTTTTTCATCGCACGTATCCACACCATGTTCGTCATCCACACGCAGCGCTGTTGATCGTAGTTTCAATATAATAGTAGTAATAATAATAATTATTATTATAAGAATCCTCTCTTTGTTATACTCGGCTGTACAACTGCCAGCCCGCTAACTAGCGCCTTTTCTCTAACGATGTGATGCGCTCTGTTCCATTCGCTCTTTTTTCTTCGACAGACTAGTCAATATCCCGGGCAGCTACACTCAGAAGAGATCCCCAATCATATATATATATATATATATCTTTAATAGTAACCCTTGTATCATCCCTTATACTGTTGGATCGCCCGCTACTGCTTGACTCTTTTAATTAATAATAATAGTAGAAATATATATATATATATATATATATTTTTTGTTTCTTCTTGTGCTCTATGTATGCATATAAATTGCTTGTGGTGTATTACTGTTTCTTTTCATTCTCACACATGTTCATTGTTATCATCGTCGCTATATTATCATATGTTATTATATCTGATCATTTCAGCACGATATCTCAATACCATCGTAGTTACTCATCCAGTTGTTGCGGTTATTCCATTAAGCGACTCTCTATGTGCTCGTTTTTATTCCTCTCATGCATTCGTACTTTTAGTTAGTTTATAATATATGTATATAGTAATAATTACGCCACTAAAATCATCGTGTTAATAATACTAATAATAATGGTCACCATTCTAATAGTCATCATGATCATCGTTATTATTACACGTTAATGTTCTTTCTTCTTTTTAATATATAATCTGAAGCCAGCGGAGGCTCAACCGGCGGCAGCAAGTCTGTTTTTCGTAAACACCATCATATATATACGATCATGATAAATTGTTATAATAATCACTTATTTGTGGTTACTCCTGCTGCTGCTGAGGGGTTCACCAATAAAGTCGTCTATGCTCCCAGTTTTCTCGCTACCGCCTGTTGTAATAATGGCGGTACTTTTAAATCTGTTGCTGGTGTTGTTGTCATTGTTATGTGTACTATAATCATTACTTAGTTTTATTATATTGTTGTTGTTGGTTGTTCCTCTTGTCAACGAAGCTTAACCCATATTTAGTTTCTCCCCCGAGCATCGTATCAGCTCTTTTACCCTTGTCATGCTAATATATACAGTGGCAATCTATCTATGTTGTTGCTGCAGTTGTTTCTAGTTCTGCTAATCTTGTTAGTTATTATTGTTGTTGTTGTTGTTGCACTAATTGTGTTCATCGTCGGAGTTCATAAACGATGACGCCAGAGTCGCAATTTTTTTTTATATTCATCTCATTATTGTTGTCCAAAGGTTGAAGGCTACGAATACCGACATGTCGAGAAAGTACAGCTGTGAGCACTCAGCGACATAACAGGTAGCAGACGAAAGTTGTTTGCTCCGCTGCAGTTCGCTGATTGTTTTCAACATTGCGTTTCCTGTCGGTTGTTGTTGGTATGCCGGTCGGTTGTTATTCAGACAAGGTTGTACTCTTTTAAATTTAGTTGCAGTATCGTGTCTTTGACGGCAGCAAACACAAACCGGATATTTTCGGTATCTGAAATTAACAAAGCGACCATGCCCATTTATGTAAATTATGTGCACCATAGGATTGGAAACTAATCGAAACGAAGCTCATTCAGCTTTTAGTCGTATAACGCAAAACATATGATGTAGTCTGTACTGATGCCTTGGCTGTTGACTAACATTGAAGCACTTTGGATCACAAGAGCAACCTTAATGTATTACGTTTCAGTCTGACAAATACTTAATAATTAAGCAGCGCAGACCGTTTTTATGGATCCTTGAAGCTCACTTTCGTGTATGAACACAGTATGCACGATGTTTTTCCTTAAGATCATAAGAAGAATCTACCCCATGATGGAGTCTTATATACTTCTTAATTACAATCTAATATAGTGGAGATTATATTCAACCACAGTACAGCTAAATGAAAGCACAATGGGAAGTTTAGTACTGTCACGAGCTAGATTGAGCAGTAGACATCCGAGATCACGATAGTTTTTTTTTAAACGATTTTAGTTTATAATTGCTGAAAATATCTGAAATAAGGCCATTATTGCATACTATTGCAACGAGTTTGTGTACCGTTAACCCCAAACGGACCAGATACTACACAAATTGAAAGGTTCGCGGAAGAGCGCTTGGGAATGAAGTCTTTAAAGCTATGTAAAGTAGCAAATAGCTATCTAGCATGCGCACTCAATCGACGTAGAAACTTGTCACAGTGCACAAGGTACAAGGACGCTTGGGCACATGTGAGACAATCTGCGTTTGAATATCGCGACGTTATAGAATCTCCGAACAAGAATCAGAAGCTTACATTCAGGAACTGTACACCAAGTATATGTCGTCTAACATTGGCATTTTGTAGCAGTGAAAAATGGACAATAGCGAGTCATAATGGTGAACAGTGCCACGGTTATGAATACAAAACGTTATCAGACAACTGGCCAATGGATAGGTGCTCACCTGTCGCACAAGTAAAATGCGAATAGATTATCTTTTCCGAATCCGGATTTAGGTCAACGAACATTCGAAGGATGAACTCGCGCGCGTGCATGGCGTCTTTTTTCGGGCCATCGTACTCGGGGAAATAATCGACCAGATGTGAGTACATGATCTTCTCTTCCAACAAATCCTATAAAACACACGAAATCAGTCATCACTTCTAACTATACCGGTTGGACAAGCGAAAAAAAATATTATCAGTGGTATAAAAATGGTAAAAGGTTATCAAATTATACTACCAATATTGCTATTTTACCAACGTCTAGATACATATAGATAAGTTTTACATGTATGGTGCGCTGCAAAATTGAATGTAATTATTTGCCATCATGGAATGTTATCATTATTAAAAGTTTACCCCTCCTCCCCCCGAACGTTCCGCTATGTCTCATATTTAGTGCTCGACTTTTGGCGGTGTTAATAACGTTATCGGGCTGTAGAGTTAGTGATAACATAAGTATTGTGATTGCACATGTATATAATTGATCGGATTAGAGGAACTCTATCCATAGAACTGTAAAGATATCGCTCTACCGTGTATTCGTGTATGTGTTGAGGTCAACTGGTAACAAAAAAGATTTATTTCAATAGTCTAATATTTAGGTGTGTCAGCTGAAGAAACCGAAACAGCCCATAGACTCTAAAACGTGCAAGCCCAACCTACAAACCTTTTTATTGAGAAATAGGATAACTGAGCTGTTTTGAAACCATGGGTAGGTAATAATCGTTTTAAAGAGCGCTTTTGACTCCTCCATTCGGTTCTCGTTATCACTCTCAAACAAAATCTGAAAATTGAAAATAAGCCCGATTAATTTATTTGAATCGCGTGGTAAAGTACAGGCGAACTTCCGGACTTTTAATTGTAGTATTATTTGTTCTTGATTAGTCTTTATTTGTTTTTCCAAGATTATGCATTCAATGAGATTTTTGGAGAGCAACAAGGGGATTCTGCTGCTATAGTAACGGTGCTTTTGGATTTTTAGCGTTCGCATGTTTTCGCACACGTTCGCAAGCCACAAGCTCGAAACAGTCTTACCTGGTCGTATTCCGAGAGCGCTACGAGGAATATGATAGACGTAACATTCTCAAAGCAGTGAATCCATTTGCGACGTTCGGACCGCTGCCCGCCTACGTCGACCATGCGGAATATGATTGAGTCCAAATCGAACGGATACTCGATAATACCTAAAAAACAGTCGTAAGTAGGCAGCACACAAGACGAATTAATGGATGTGAATTAACTACAAAAGAGACAAAAGTTCAAATAGCGATGTCACAATGCAACACAGGTTTGTCCTAACTTTTGTTTATTGAAGCATTTGCAGGCTAAAAGTACAAGCCATGGTTGTCGTATGCTCAGCAAATCTAACGAATAATAAAAACTCCATAGCTTTCCACTCAACTAAATCATGCAGTACAACTGGCTGGATCATCACGAGTACTGTAAAACGTCTGCATATGATATTCCAGAGAGATATCGGAGACGGTTCAAGTCGCCCTAAGGTTTTAAGGTTAGGAGGGTCACAATCTAAATTCCCTGGTCAGCCCCCAAGACAGCCTCGAGGTATATAACACCGTGGAGGAGCACCTGATGCTTTACTAGTGGAACTAATTGTTATGACTCTACTAATAAATTGAGAAATGCCTAAAGATCAATGATATATGTCTAATATACACGTACTCGCAAAATATACTCGACTCTCGAAAATTGTTGTCTAATACATAAATTCGGAGCCCCGCTGTTACACGAAAATGGCGATCTCATTCAAAATATTAAATCAGCATTGCCACCGTGGGCATTCATCATATTATACAATGCGAGCGGCCTTACCGGTGGTGGGTACACGCACTCTTAAGATGTCCTGTTGACTAGGGAGATAATCTCTGCGGGCGATGCGTTCTATATCCGACAGATAATATTTGGCAGAGTCTGTCAGCTGGTATTCTCGTCGCCTGAAATCGTAAAAATAACATTAGCAAATTAGTCGCCTCTTCGTTAACTTAAGCCTTCAACATGGTAGTAACACACCTAACGACTAAAAATTATACATTTTAATGGGTAAACAAGCTATATTTGCAGTGCAGCATATAAAAATCGCAACTAGTTTTTTGCCACTAAGCTATGTATTCATATGAGTTAGAGGCATTATACACTTGAAAATACTTGATTGGGTTGCTTGTATGGGACAAATATTTGTATTTGAAATTTCTAAGTTACGAAAATAGTACTTTACGCCCTAATCGCATAACCCTTTTGAACGATAACATTAAGCGGACATTCGTTGATGCGCATAACGATTTTATTGATAAATTTAAAAGACAGTTCGATTGAGAAAACAAGCAAACGTTGTAACATAATTGTTCCAGATTATCGTTTCGGTGCTTATTTTAGTGTACGTATTTCAGTGTGAGCCATTTTAAAATACATCTTGTGGGAATGCCACGGTAGACAATTAAACATTTCATAACATACGTCGGCGTCCGCTATTTTCGAACTACTCATTAGATGAAAAATTCCTTGGCAATTACCGCCGTTTAAGTCTAGCATTTCACAGGCATCAGTATAATACGCAACAGAAACCACTGTTGACGCTATCGATTGCTCGTGCAGTTTCCTTAGTTTTGTTGATCCGAGCCTTCGTTTGCCCTTCTTCGCTTGATCATAACCATGCCGACAACAAACATCCACTATCCAATGTCGGCCTTAATTTTTCCAACCCCACCTAAGCCGGCAAAATGACTCGTGCTATTTTAACCTGTTTGACCATATTTTTATTGAACGCTTCAATAAAAACATGTCATACGATGAAAAATATTACTACTGTGTATGATGCGAATACAGTGGTGATCCTAATTGGTTCTCTCTCTCTCTCTCCATATATATGTATGTATATATATGTATGTATGAATTCCACCAATACGGATTAGTTGTACTTCAGCAAAAAATAAAGCTCCGAAATGAATCCCATGTCTCAGAGGGTAATAGCATTTCGTGTGCACTTCTCAAACACACAACAATATCGAGGTGTATGGCATTTCATCATGAGTAGAGATACCTTTATATATACAGAGATTTGCTGAACATTGTGATTCTTTTTACATTTTATATGTATGCCTATTACTATCTAGCAAATGCGCCAACGTTTTAAAATGGGAAAGTTCGAATTTGAAAGAGATTTAGCCTTTCTAGGGATTTAGGATTCCTAGGGAAATACACAGGGACACATTCCGTGAATGAGCCTAGTCGTCTTCCACACTAACAGCTAGCAGCATTCAACAATAAATTACTGTTATTACTATGAAACACATGTTTAAAATGTGGGGTGGTTCATCGGACTTTGGCAATAACTAACCGATCGTAACACTCCTGTATCCCTGGATCGGCCCAAAGTTTTTGTATAGCAACCACAAATGGCCTGTCGAATGTCGTAACGGCCTCGTAGTCAACCGACGACACAAGCTGTGCATGCTCCACATTGCTGGGGTCCTTGTACTGGATTCTGAGCATGTCCATCGCCTTGATCATAGACTGCATGGCCATAAAGATGTTTTGATAGACCAGCTTGATGAACCCTGTCCATACAAACCAAACGAAAATAACAAATGAATGGATTATCAGCACTCATCAAATATACCCTAAAAATACCGTCTTTTAACATTAAACTACTATGTAAGGGGGGTAATATCTATTTAGTTTGCTTTAAGCACGAAGTGTTTGAATCTGTGGGGTTAGAGAAGAATTTGTTTGGTATATTGAAGTTATACATGAGAACGCCGCAACAAAAGCAACTTTACCCTTCTTATCGTCGTCGTCATAGCCGGAGCCATGAATAATTCGCATTTGCTTAATAAACGTGGATTTCCCGCTTTCTCCCGTCCCTGTAAATAGAGAGATAGAAAAGCAATTATCACCGTTAATAAGACATCACATCTTTTTCAATCAGCGAACATTTAGGGAGTCTAGTAATCAGATTTAATTTAATCGTATTACGTACACATACATAATCTGTATGCTCTTATTAAGCTTTTACCCACCCAGCAGTAACAACTTGAGCTCTCTTCGCGCATCGCGTTTGTCTTTACGGAGCTGCCGCTCGATCTCCTGGTTGATGCGCTTCTGTTCCTTAGCCTCCTCCGAGAGGCAGCACGCCATCATCTTGCCACAGCCGAGCTGCTCTAACAGCTGCAGCCTGCAGCTACAGCGGAAGCTGCAGCTAGCTACAGCGACAACAGCGTATATAATTCGTCACCACCTTCTGCCCCACCGGCTTCTTACACCTTAATGCTGGTGTTGCTACCTATTTCGACGGCCGCACAACGCACTTAAGATGGCTCGAACCAGAGGCCGCCTGCACTGAAGACACACAAAAACACTGACACATACACAGTCTGCTGATAGCCAATATGCAGATCGAGGTATGGTTTGCGTCACCACTGTGACTGCCACTTGAAATACCCACTAGAGCTGCTGTAACGTCTCGTGTTATGGCTCAGGCGGACGTCTGAAGTACAGCTATGGGCAACTGTTGACAATACTGGTGACAAACTACAACTCAAACATTTACAGACCTAATCCTCAGCTCAATCAATCAGTCGTTCAGCAAGACAGCTTCGTTTATCAACCGTGCATCTTTGTTGTTCCCGCCTCTGTTATCTGTATTTGTAATCGTTGTTGCTCCTCAAGAAGCAACAACAAGCACAGGGTAATTTTGAATATTTGGCTTTGTTTCGTTCGTGAAGCACTCCAAACACAATGAACGAACAACTCCGTTCTCACCTGATCTAGCAGCAACAATAAGAATAGAGACTGCATCTAAATACAGGAGGCCAGCGGATGACCTTTTTTTGTTGTGCTTGTCTTTATCAGTTTTCGCTAGGTCAACACCCACAATGCGCGAACGATGCGATTTAAAATATCTGCCACAACAACCTGTTCCAAGCTGAAACGGTGTGGCTTAGATCGAAGGGGTTGAGTTCACACGAAAGGTGCTGTAGATTGATTGCACCCCTCGTTTCTTCGTTCGTGATGATGGCTGGGAACGCCTCCCTTTCCGTAAGGTTCGCCTTCTACAGTAGTTCCTGTGCGATTGTTGTGCCACTGCAGCTTTTCCTTAATGGCCACCAGCGCCCACCTGCAGCTCTTCGCGCAAGTCGCGCTCTATCTGGAGTTTTACCTAAAGGAACACCAAACAAATAAACAAACAGATGATACAGAAGGCGGCTGTTAGCAAAGTGTGTAGACATTGGAAGGTAAATATTACGGTAGGATGGAATACAAATATATGGTACAAGCAAACACACTGTGAAAAACACTGACTAACATCTAGCCCACCTATTATTATGATAAAAGTATGTTCGCTACGCAGAGAAAGAATATTTTGCTCTTGCCTGAACCTATGCAATTCATAGAACATTTGTGGCACCATTGTTTTTTCGTATTTCTGCCATAACTAAGTTACAAAAACCTCAGCAATTAAATAATTATAATTTTCTGATCGTAAACGAAACCAAAACGCCAAGAAGCACTTTGCCACATTATCAATGTTATCGTCAAACATTGTATGTGATGATTCCATTACAACTATCATTAACTGGTTTGATACGTGCGTTTGTCAATCTGAAGCATACGCGCGTGTCTTGAGCAACGCATAAATGTGCTTAAATGAATGAGTCAACGGGTCGTTTTAATAGACGTCACAGTCGTATTACTGCAGTGTGGACTATGTTTAGTAGCTGCTCTTGGGCCGACTAGGCGCCAATGAGCTTTCAGCAAGCCCTTCAAACGTGCTCTGTCATCCTGACCGCCCCGCCGGTCAAAAGCGTTAACTCAACGGCTGTATAATGAACTTAACGTTTCGCCAAGCCTTATTCGTTCGACCGGTTCAAAAGATTGCCAATCTTTAAATTTCATGGTTCCTGTATTTCCCTTTTTTTTTCCTCTTTACATCTAAATGTGTATTTTTATTTATTGTATAGTGCGCAAGAGCTTACTAGATGTTGGACATGATAGTTTTCAGGATGGCACAAACGGTCTGCTTTCCGAATCAGGTTAGCTAGGGTTTAAGTAGGTTTGGGTGGATTGCGTTGGCGAACCATGCATGGCAACGATTATAAATGAATTTCTTGTCAAACTCGTTGAACAAGCGATTTTGTTACAGATGCCGCCATCTTCGAATGCCGCCCTCCGCCCCTTCCCTAGCAGATTTTATACGAAACGTTAAATTTTTGCACGTTGCTATTGTTGTTATTTCTAGCCTTGTTCTCACAAAGCGGTAGTCATCGAACGGTTCGTTCGCTGTCTGTCTTTGGAACTATATACTTCTCGCAGCCGAACTCGCCTCGTCGTCAGCGCGACCGCCAGCAGCCACAGCCCGCAGCGGGACTAGAAAAACGGTAGAAGCAATACTTTATGACACCGCTAGCCAATAAGCGGTGGGCAACTATAAACGCTGAAAAGCACTACAAGTAGTACGGGCCCACTACCAAACAGCAGGGGCTGTTGAAGCCGTTGCCGCCGCCGCCGCTGCAAAGTACCCGGGTTGCCCGTCGCCGGAAACGCCCAACAGCCATTGCCTACTACTCACTAATGCTGCTGCTGCTGTCGCCTCGACGATATCAGCAACAACAACATCGCAACACACTGCTAATGCTAAGGGTTGTAATCTTGATGATGATGATGATGATGATGAATCCGCTGCGGCCGCGAAACGTTCTCCCGTCTACGGCGGCCTGTCGTCACTGACGGAGCAAAGCGTCGTTCGCTGGGTCCGGCTATGTTTGAATGCGTTTCGGACATTCGCAGCCTCATAGCGTAGCTCGCAGTTCGCAATCGCTGACCTGACTGACTGAAAGAGTGAGTGACGGTCTGAACTGGCAAATATACGCTCCTCATGGCGGTGATCGTCGTGCGTGCTGCGATCGGCACGGCTCAATACAGTCCATCCCTGTTAGATAGCTCCTTTCAACAACAACTGACAAACTTGATGCTTGCCGTTGTTGTCTTTACCAATCACCATTATTACTAGTATTGTACCTTACTCACTGTCAGTAACTCTGGACGGTGGCTTTTTCCCTGTTTCCAGCAAACGGCTTTCTAGGGTATTGTCGCTACTATCAGGGAGAATAGGAAGTGTCGGCGACATCAAGGGAAAATTGAGATCAACTATTTGAGACTTAGTTCCAGTTCAAGCGGCGAAAACCTCATTTTCATAGTCATTGAGCTTTTTCAAATGATGAAGATCGAAAACACGTAGTGTCGAAGTAACACGAAGATGAACAGCGGTCGGCAAACACGCCTCTATAGCTCGGCAATTCTCATCCAGCGATAGGCTGACAAAAGCTTAGAATCACCAAAGGTTCGCCTCGAAGAAATGGAACGATACAGGAATCTTTGCTTTATAGTTTACTCACATCACAAATACATACATAGATATAAAAAAATATAATAAATTATTTTAAAGTTTAGAGAGAATAGGCATTTTGTCGCTTAACCATATATATTATCGGCTAGCGACTAGGGCTTTATACCCAAGCCGGTTCGAATTATCAGTTGTTCATTGTTTAGATTGTCAACCGTAGCTATATATATACCGGAACAAACGGCGCCAAAGAAGTAATTCTTGTATTATTTTATATTACATCCTTTTCTGAGAACCAATGAACGGCTTCTTCCCTTACCGGAGGTCCTTTTAAGCCCTCGGTAAACGGTCGTTATTCGTAGCACATTTATATAGATTTAAATTCTCTTTCGTGCACCAAATGCTATTTGTCCATATAAACCTCCACGATGTAAGCGTCGACACCGGTGAGCTCTATTTCAACCGGGAGCATCTTCAAAACTCCACCCATTGCACATATTTCCCAAACGATTTTTCGTACAAGGCACTTCCAGAAATGTGGCCTTCCAGGGACCCAATAACGAAACTCGCACAAAATAGATTGATTTTTGAATCGATCAAGTACCGAAAAATGTGCCAACCCGTACACACAATGTTTGATAACCACTGAAAAAAGCAAAATTTCTGCGGCAAGCAGAACAAACCTAGGTGACACTGGACGGATCTATTACGACACTCTCTGAAACCTCACAGTCGCATCGGAACACAGATTGTATATACTGTAACGCCATGTCAATTTCAGGTGCATGCGAGACCAAAACGAATATTAGCTGGAGCCTTAAATTGAGCATTAGCTCCAGTCATTCGGATACAATGCAATCGGATATGATACGATGAATTGCCTTATCTCTGGCGACTATATACTGCATATATGCAGTAATAAATACGCGATAAACAAAGCATTAAGATGAAGCTGGTGCAATAGTGAATTCATCAGTAACAATAGTGCTAATAACAATTATTATTATCATATAAATGACAACGGATTTGCGTAAACTGAGTGTGTTGCTCTACTCGGCAGGTTATACAGCGTTCGTTGTTATTCTTGAGATAACAAACGAACCCATAATGATATTTTTTCTGTACGTTAGAGTTGGCTACGCCAGGAGCCTGTTTTATTGGCGGATTTTGAAGGATCGACTCGTCGTCCACGATTCGTAGAACCAGCTGGTCAGTTCCACGTGCCTCGACCAGCTGCTTTACAATGCAGCATTAGCTCTACGATGCGGCGGGATCCGTGGGGATGATTTGTCGGTTTTTGGGGCAACAGCTAGGCGGCTCTGAACGCGCAATTAATTCGAACAGTAAGTTGGTACCGTCAAAAAGAAAAAGCCCTTCAAGGTCGGATTTCTCTACTTCAGCAATGTATTATTGTACTACCATCATAGTAACAGCCATCGAGAAACAAACCTACGCTTCGCGACAGTAAGTAAAGCTTCTTTCATGATTTCTGTTAGTGCGCGCTACTATTCTTATAGTTGTGATTGTCAACAGCAAAAGTTACTACTATAATGAATCAAATACAGCCCTTCGTTCTCTCGCCTCGTCGAACGCATGCCGTAGATATCACCTAAAAAAATTTGTCAGGTGGCCAAATTGTTGGAGCTCGAGCACGTGTGCGTGTGTAGGCTTTGTGATCTTGTTCTGTCGATGCAAGGCAATTTAAGATGGGGGAGCACGCGTTTGGGGTAAAAGTGACTAGGGTGTGGTCGGAACGGTGGCTCACGCTTAGCCCACTTAGGCCGCCATTACAACTCTGCTCTTCGTATCTCCTCTTTTCCACCGGGATTACGCCGCCTTGCTCGTCCTCGATTCAATTCAAATTTTCCGCAAATTTATTTATCTATTGATTATCAGACAAGTTTGTTTGTGAGGAGGGGTGGCGATATAAGACAGCCATCCAACATCGACGCGAGGATTTTCGCTGTTGACAGCGACAGCAGTAGCAGTCGCCGCGTAGTACGTGAGAACGTCGACACCGAACAAGGAGAGCGAGCGAAATTACCCTAAATGGCCTGCTCATTGTAATATAAGCGCAGTGAGGTAGGCGCGTGTGTTAACGCATGACTCCGCCGACTGGAATGGAAGACCGGCAATAGGCATGGCAGCAGTAGCACCACTTATGGCCACAGGTGAATGTATTGCAGTGGATGAACTTTGGCGGCAACAGTATATGCCCTCTTTTACAACGCGTACACCTGCCGCATTTTTGTATCATTACAAATGCTGAAGTTAGAACCAGACGCATCTGATGTCTTTTAAGGTGTAGACGATTTCATAATCGCTGGGTCATCAAAGTGAGCCACAGCAATTTCTTTATAAGAGATATTCACTCAAGACTGTCACTTATTCTGTAGAGCCTGGCATATTCGATCGGAGGATCCCATCGAAAAGGTTTACCCAAAAGCTAATTGGCATTTATAAATAGAAAAATCACTTTTTTTACTAAGGAGCTTTCTCAGTTTTTAATTGTTGGCTTGCTAATTGAGTCAATTTCAATTCGTGCCATACGTAGAGAACTGCCTGAGAGTTTTCACACATGCTTGTAATCACAAATGACATGCTTAACTAGAACCCATAACGTAATGAATACATTAATCTTTAATAAAATAAACTTGTAGATTTTTTTTTTATTTTTGAACTTTTAGCACCAAGCATATAATATAATTTTCTTTGAAACATCTCATGTTATCCTCAGTCTCAAATAAAATAAAACGCTTTTCATAGAGTATACTTTCAACCAACTTTTATTTTTCAACCAACAATTATTTTCTAAACTAAATTTTGACCTATTTAAAACGCAGAAATGTGACAACAAGGTCGATATCTTAATGATAAAACGTTACTGCTTGAAGCGATATATTAAATAAATGGGCAACTCCTTTATAAATTCATACTAGATTTTATGGCAGTTTTTAGAACTATTTTATTACGAAGAGTGCCAACTCCTAGCAAATGTAGTAATCTTTACCATCTCTTATATAAGAAGACTTATTCCTAAGCATTTTATATGAGAAGTGAATGTCAGGACGCCATCGACAATACACCGTGAAATATATGCTCTAGCCTGATGCAAAAGATTTCCAGTAAGGATTACCTATAGAAATCTTTGCTTTATTAAAAAAATTCAAAAAAATATAAAATCATTCGTAGTTTTAGACTTTCTCTTAATCATCTTTGCTTCAAATAACATCTTTTCATAGAGATTTTTGTATCGAAAAGCTAATATCAGAAGGACAGTACTTCCTTTTTTTTCCATTATATTATTATCTAGAATTATATGATAGATGATTCTGAACACTGAGAATGAGAATTTCTTTTTCATAATTGTCTCAAGGATTGATGAACAAGCATTTAAAGGGTAAAAATAAAATTCTCTGGGGAGTTTACATGTTCTATAGGGCTGACAGATCTGCAAAATGATTTCTGTCACAAGTAGTAACCCATCGTAGATTACTATATCGTACCCATTTTTGGAAAAAAGGATAACACACACTAACGTACCTATTTCCGTTTTTATTGAAGGTGTCTTTATCGATCATGCCTAAATCTCGGATAATGCTTCGATACGGAATGATGAATATTATAAAGATCAATTAAAAGATCAGTTAAAATAAGAGTATGCTCAAGGCGCTATTTGGCAATTTTTTTCCTGGTTCTATAATATAAACTTCAATCGTAGACTGATGATTCTAATTAATTAATTTTATCGAATTTTTTTTCGAACAGGCATCAGCACTAAAAATAAAGCATCATGATTTAGGGGCATTACATGTTATCTGCGAAATTGTCATGAGATTTACACGTACAACGCGTTTTTAGCATCGAAGGGGACAATTCATTTAAGGTTATGAACAGATAAAAAGTATAGAATATTATTAAACGATCTACTAAATACTTATGGTAGGTAGACATTTAGATAAATAGCGTAACAAATTATAATATATGATAAGTAATTAAATTTTCAAATAAACAAAATGTCCTTTTTTTTATAAATAATGTATATTTTTATTAATCTGTAGAGAAAAGTCCAAAATAAGAAAACGATTATTTTAAAACTAAACTTTTAAAACTAAAAATTAAACTCGAAATTGTTATATGCTTAAATGCGCATCTCCTCAGGAACTATATTTTTATTTTTATTATTAGAAAATAACTAGTTTTAGTTCGCTCATTTTTGTTAAAAAGTATATCACTGAAAACGAGTTTTGATTTTACGATAGAACGATAAATAAGATTAACTATGAGTTCATTAAATAAGAGCCTTCCGTCAACTAAAAAATCTGTAGCCATTTGTGACGTTTCTGACGAAATGCACCTTAACGTATTTCAATATGAAGTTATAAATTTAATTAAAAAACAATTTGAGCTTGTAAAAAAGAAATCCCTATTTTTTCTAAGTTGCTTAGTTTTTTTTTAATTCTGTACGAAAAGCAAAATAAGTCAAGAAGCTTTCAATAGTTAAATACCTATTACGACAGCTCGTGCAAATCACATTTTTCCTAATTTTGAGAAAATTAATTCGAATAATCATTCGTAGTTAATCGACCATTTTTATGTATTATTTCTTTCATTACGTTCCCTCGGGAAGACAATAGCGTTAATGCAGAAAGATCTTTGGTAAGTGGTAGCTAGACACGAGAAGCAAGCATGGGATCGCTGGAAAATTGGCGAAACCTCGGTTGAAGGCGATGATGTTTGGTTTTGAGCTGAGAACTCCAGGGGCGATAATACAACAGAGACCGCGCCAGCGGTAGCAGCTTGGCATATGGAGATGTACAGGAGAACGAGGAGGAGGACTAGGAAAAGGCGCAGCCTGAGCCACCATAGAGCAGAACCTCAACACAGGCAAAGAGCCAACCAGCAAAATCGTGCGGTGCTATGTGGAGTGTGTAGCCAGAACCCTGTGGGGAGCGGTCGACGGTGGGGTTTGCTTCTTTTTAGAGGAGACCGACCGTCCATCGCGGAGCCGTTGGGCGGGGGGTCGTTCGCGAACAGCAGAGCCATCGTCAGGCCGCCATACAGGGAGAGAACCAGGGCTGCTGCCACTTGCTTGCAATGCCTCTAGCCAGAGGCGGACAGCCGCTCGCAGGCCCGCCACCACTAACCCATCGGCGACCGCTAACCCTAACCTTCGAAGGCCTGATGCTTCGCGCTGGGTGCAAATGCTCGGTTGCGGGTTTGAGCGCATCCGCATGTTCATACTCGTAGTGCGTTCTTTGCGCCGCCATCTACACCCTTTCTACGCCCCGGAAAGGATTAGGGATTCGACGACTTTTCGTGGAAGGGACGTATGCTTGGCTTCTACACGGCCGGTCGCTGGTCTGCGCTGAGCGTTCTTCGAGTACAGAGCTGGCCTCCACAGCAAGCTGCGACTAGCGGCGCTGTCCAAACGAAGATATAGAGCACCTACGCACAGATACGCATGCACACACATGCCCCCCCTCCCTTCCTTCACTATACCACAGTATATCACACGACACCACGCGAACGAGAAATGGAACGAACCGTGGATCCTGTGGCGCTAACGGCGGCGGCGGTGTCGTAGCAACAGAGTCAGCAACTGCGAAACGACTTTGGGAGGCAACGGGGAATCGAATAAGTGCCGGTCAGCAGGCAGCTTGCTCAGGCGAGACAGCACAACGAAGCTGACAATGGAGAAATCTACTACTGATACGTCATCTCTTCTCTTTTTACTATTGTCACTGTTATCACAAAAAGTAGAAATCTACGAGTGAGCGCTCATTGATCCGGAGCATTTTGCCTCCATTAAATACATCCCATATAAAATAATGGGCTTCATTAAAATTAAGAAGGATTAGGTGTAATATTTTATGTTAATGAACAGCGTTTGACATTTCGACAATATTAACTTGCATAGATCCAAACATAACGTTTTAGTTCTGGGAATACGTAAAAACCGAACGCAGATTGGTACTTAAAGGCAAAGCGGTGTTAATGGAATGGCACTGTATGCTCACAATTATAGACCAAATCTGTTCGCAAGCGTGTCTCATACACTTTATGGGTGTCGAAAGTAAAGAAAATTACTATGTAACTTTTCAAAAAAAGCGAGATCTAACACTAACCGGACCTTCGAAGCTCTTCTAGATGTGTCAGAGACGTACAGTTGAAGGATGCCGCCGATAGTAGAGAAAACTGTTATTCTTTCCTGCTGATGCAGCCGCTTCGTGATGGCAAAGGTACTGTTGTTCCGATGTTTGCTGCCGCGTACGGGGAAAATTGCCACACAGAAACGGGTGCTCACGCATTCTACGCGCTTCTCTGTGTACTCCACTGCACGTTTTTCCTCTCCGTTGGAACTGACAGACGTGGGGTAGTTGTGCGGCTAACGACTGATAATCAGAACCAATCGACTGACATGAACTGACAGGTCAAATAAGCTGGTTGAGGTTGAACTTCGGTCGTCGTTTTTTTCTTCACCACCAAACAAGCATAAGGGCCGATGTAAAGGTTGCGCGGGCGCCCTCGAGTAAACAGTCTTTTCTTCTGGTTTCGTTAGGCGAGTCCGTCGTGAGATACAGACGCCGTCAATGTAATAGCAAATCACAAAGGAGCACTTCGACAAATCCACATGATCACTCACCCACAGTTACCAAAACCCGTTGTTGTTGTTGTTGTTGGCTTTTTTGTATTATCGGTGTTTTTTATCGGCATCCACAGCTGGGACTATGGAAGGGAGACACGCGCACACACACTCATTCTTTCCGTTCGAACAGACTTCTTCCGAACAGCGCACGTTCGACACGAGCGCCACGACGAGCCCACCGAACGCAAAGATGATGATGATGAGGATGATGACGGCGACGACACTGTTTAAGAACACGCAGGCGACCCTGGAACAGCTGACGAGGCACACGATCTCTCAGCAAACAATATTCACCTATAGAATAACGAACTGTATCTTACAAACAGGGCGAGATAGTGCAGGCTCTGAAGCTGTTGTCGGCGCTGCGGTGTGGGCTTTCGTAGTCTTGAGATTATTTTGTTGATGTTATAATAGTTGCCAATAACACTATGGCTGTGCTCATACGAATATTAAGCATCAATAGTTAAAGCAGCTGATCTTGTGTTGGTCGTCTTTGTTGTTGTTGCTGTTGTTGTTGTTGCTGTTGTCGTCGTCGCTGTTTTTCTTCTCGTCCTTCCCGTGGGCTTTCTCGTCTTCGTCTGTGCCGTCCCGTGTAAGTTGCCTTTTTCCTATCTCTTCCCGGTTTCTCTTTTCGTTTACCCGTACACTACTATTTTATTGGTCTCCCTCAGGTTATTATTATTATTATAGGAGTGCTTGCCGTTATTCCTGCAGATCGTTTCGGTGCAGGTGTTCCTGTCGGCTGTAGGCTCTTCTGCTGCCTGCTTACGATTCGTGGTGACGATGATGACGATGGTTGGCTGGTTCGTTTTGACGGCGTCGATGTTGTTGCTGTTGTCTTTGTCGTCGTCTTTGACCGGCTTGTAACAACAACAACAACAGCAACAGCGGCAGTCGCAGCAGGAAGGTCGCTCGACGCTGCCGTTGCTGCCTTAGCTACCGCAATGATCTCGGATTTTTTTCCAATGCTTGTATTGGAAAGCTACAAAGTCCAGGACCAGTACTGCACTGACTACTAACGACGACGACGACGACGACGACGACGACGACGACGACGACGACGACGACCACGACGACGACGACGACGACGACGACGACGACGTTCACGGAGATAGTTGCTCTTGCCGTGACTGCTGTTACAACTGCTATTTTCGGGCCGCCGTGAACTCGCCGGCCCGTCAACTCACCGGGACAATAACAACGCAAGTCACGCACAGGAACAATACGTGCAGTGGGAAGATAATGGCAGATTTTCGGTGAATCGTGGCGCTGGTCGTCGTCGTGGTGGTGGTAATTTTGTTATTATTATTGTTGTTGCTGCGGCCGCTGTTGTTGTTGTCGTCGTTGTTGTTATTGATGACTATGATGATGATGGCGTGGCTGTAGTGGTGGATGCCTACTAGCGCAACACACGCGGCCAAAAGCAACACAACAGCAGCTTTTCCTTATTCTTGCTGGCGTGGACGTCGGAATAGCGCCAATACTAAAAGTAGTGGTACCAGCTGTAGTAGCTGCTGTTGTATTGATAGTACAGCCCCTAGTCGCTTTTGATTTGCTTTGAACTGTTGCTGGTTGGTATGGCCGCTGGCTGATTCTTTAACACTCCCGTAGGTGACGGTGATAATTGTGCTGGTGTTAATTGTAGTAGCGGCTATTCGTCGTTTGCTTGTAGCCGACGACAGTCGGCAGGCTCTGTCGCACTGCTAAAGTACAGTACGAAACAGCACTTGCTCGATGTACACCGTGAAATCCTCGGACAACGCCGTTTCTAACACGACCCAGCCGTGGACAAAACTGTTGCTTTTGCTCTTAGTGGCCGATTTGTACAAACGACCCAGAAGAACACCAGAACACGGGGACACGGTCGTACGAGTCGCCAGGTAGACGAGCCGAAAAGCCAGCCAGCCAGCCCAGCCGACACACTCACTCGCGCACAGAGGGAGACGCTCACAAACACTACGTTAACGCAAAGCTATCGTACACACGCCAGCCGCCAACGAATGGAACGCAGACAGCAACACACGGATACGGCGGTGGACATGAGCACCACTGAGCGAACGACGATGAGTGCCACCGGCGTGTGCCGAGCGAAGCAACTTTTCTTCCTCTCCAATGGAGACACAGTCACAAACAGACAAACGGACAGACACTCACTTCGAACTAACGACCGACCACCCAGCAGCTTGCACACTCCCCGCGCTGTGACGACTGACGACAACGGCGACGACGATGACTGAGATGGGCTCGCTCGTTGGTTTGCTCACTCACCTACTGCTTTGACGGGCAGTTAGTCAGTCAGTTAGGCAGAAAGGCTGTCGCCGCCGCAGCAGTCGCCAGCTATCCAGCTACAACATCAGCCTCCACCAGCAGCGCTAGCGTCACCGACAAGCGCGACGACGCAACGATAAACAGCGCACTGCTGCTGCTGCTGCTGCTGTTGAGGTTGTTATTGTCGTAGTTGGCCACAGCGCCCGGTACACCGTCAGCAATACTGTAACCTCTGCTGAAGAAGCAGCAGCAGGAGCAATTGTCACTCCTCGCCGCTACTGCTGCTGCTGCTGCTGTCGTTTTGCGGTCGCCTCTGGCGCCGCTGTCGCTTTCGCTGCTACTGTTGGGGCAGCAGTTGTGACGATGATGTTGGTGGGGGCACCAGCTGCTGTCTGCGGTGATACTGCGGATTGTTAGCTTGTGACTGGTGACGATGGTGCCGTGCAGCTGTTGTTGCTGTCGTCGTGTGCTACTGCCTCGTCTGGCGTTAGAATTGTGATAGCTATATGAAGTCAGCTCTCGTTGGACGTTTACTCGGTTAATTGCTTGCGGTTCGTAGCTATTCGTGCCGGTCAATGCTCAGTCAATGCCGACGATTTTGCGTGGGGACGGACGGATGGACTGACGTCACGGGTTATGCAAACGCGATACTATATATCGAACCCGGCACTGGTCGTAATAGTACTCTCGCAGGTGCTACTATTGCAGGTAACCGCAGCGCAACGGCGGCCCAACTGCACAAGCACCATCAAATGATAGGATGTGTTAATGTCGCCGTGTTCGACTCACGCACATGTACCCCGCAACCCACACCTGAAGGTATTACACACAATAGTCGCAGCAATGATCGTTGGTAGACTATTATACGAGTAGAATGATTATTTTTGTTATCCACGATAATAACGAAGAGCTGCGATGACCAATCGTGCAAATGATACTGCTCGCTGTCGTCGCTCTCGCCTGAAGTCGGCAGCCGATAACGAGATGAATGTTGTTTTTTAAATCTCGCTTCTCATTGTGCGGTCTACCATTATTATTCTTTGGCGCTCTGTTTCCTTCCTTGTCTTTTTACTCTCCCTGCTTCGATAGCTCCTTGCGTGGATGTGTGCGTATGTGTGGATATACTGACCCCGCTGTCATTTAAGCTTCTCTTTTGACGCGTTCTCCGCCGTTTGGCGTATCACTCATACACAGTGTGACGTTGACGACAATACGATGAATTGCTCCCCGCCACCACCTATTGCCTCGGCCACTATTGGGGCCTGCCGGCGCGCTTTCACTTGTTGAGGGCTGCTGCTATTGTGGCTTCACAGACGACAACGGCGGCAGCGGCGGCGACGGCGGCGTCGTCGCCGTGGGCGGTGGCTGCAGCCGTTGATGGGCCCTCACCGTCACCGGCCCAAGCAACAAACGAACGCTCTCTTTTTCTCTCTTTGTTTGTGATGTTCGCGATCGACAGTTACAACAACTTGCCCGGCGTTCTTTATCGTTGACACAAAGGGGTGCTGGTTATGATGGGTATCGTGGTGGGTTATCGTTATAGGGGGAGGGGTCAACAAGGCAACAATCCTCGCGACTCAGCCACTTTGAATCTTCTGTTGCCACCGATTATAATAATGTTGATGATGGCCGACGCCTGCTGCTGCTGGTGCTGCTGCTCCTCCTCCACCACAAGACGAGGCAGTGTGGTCGTCGTCGTCGTCGTGGGACGGACGGCCGCCCGCGGGCCTCTCGTTCTGGACTTCCAAAGCCCCCGATCATTGCCCGAGAGCACAATACATACACACTTTTCTCTTTAACCCTGATTTACACACTTTTCTTCTCAGTCCCTCGTTGTGTGTTTCGGTTTCTTTTTTCTGCTGATCGCTGTTTCTGCGCGTTCCCAGCTATAGCAACAGCGGTTTCAACTAGCGGCTTTGCTCGCTAACGAGCTGTATGAGGAGTTTGATTTTTCGTTTCAGGGTGTTTCTTTTGGTGCGCTTGACGGTTTGTTTTTACTTCGCTATTTGTCCGTCTGCCCACCGCCCGGCCGACTATTAGCCGCAAAGATCCCTTTTCTCCCTCACTCTTTGCGTCTCTAGCGCTATCAACGCGGCACACAGGCACTAATTATCTCGTTTTACCAGCATTGCATTTTACCACTCGATTTCTGCTGCTGCTGAGGAATGTCCACCTGCAGATACTTCCTTTGCTCCGTGTTCTTGTTGTTGATACTCACTAGTTGTCACCCATCGACGAAACTACCCGCCTTTTTTCGCCACGTTGCTGCGTTGTTGTTGTGGGCGTCGCTGCCCTGCGTTCCTTCCTTTTCTTTGGTCTTCCTTCTGCTTTTTGTGCCCTAGACCTGACAAGATATAGACAGGAATCGCGTCTTCCCTGCAGTCAGCCACCACCTTGGCTATTATCTCAACAAGTAGTTGTAGTATCGGTTCTGTTGCTTCCACTGTTAGACGGCTGTCGATGGGAAACGGAGAGGTGCACGTAGCAGCACGACAGATCAGGCGCAGCCGTCACAACACGACGATGGCTGTATGCCATGCGGCTGCTTTGTTGCTTGTTGTTCCTGTTGCTGTTGTTGATGCTGCTGCTGTTGTTGTTGTTGACGCAGTTGTTGTTTTGCTTCGATGGCCGATCGTTCTAGCGGTTAGCTTTCTCGCAGGCACTGTCTTTTCTATTCTTGCACCCGATCTTGGTTAGTAGCGATTGCGCTACCAAACGGTAAAGGAATAGACGGAATATGCAGCATCTACGGGTGGTAGGCCAGCTGCTGTATTAGGCGTTCGAACGGGGGTCGGCCCTCGAATACAGACACACATACACACACAGAGGTTAATCACGCGCAAACGATGCAGATAAAGAAATATTTATGACCGCCGTCATCGACACTACTCCTGCGATAACACCACTGGTAATCTACTTCTTCTGATATCGATAGTCCGGTTCCCGCACTCACACACACCCACACCCACAGGCAGATTCTGCCGGACACGCGCGCGTATAAGAGCTCTCTTTCTCACACACAAACAAAAGGAATATATCCGAACGAATCGAGCGACTGATCGACGACGACCAAACACTGGCTCACTTTGTCGTCGTACGAATCAAAGATCGGCACCGGGGCACAGGGTGGCGGGGGCGGCGATGATGGTGACGACGGTGGCGGAGGCAAATAGTTGACGGATGATGATACCACAATGGCACGGTACCGTGCCACTATACAACGAAGGTGTTACAAAAGGATAACTATAAGTAGATTTAAAAACAAGATGTCAAGCAATGATGCTAGCCGTAGATTGGTCAACAAACTTCAGAATTACTCATTCTTTCACTTCGCTCTCAGTCTGACACACAATTTCCTCGAAATTCTGAGTACCCTTCTTTTTCTGCTATTCCACTTTCGACTAGTCTTTGTACATCCGAAGAACAAGATACACTATGTCGCAGAAATATAGACAGCCTCGTGCCCCTTCTTCCTTTTCGTTGACGCGCAGATGTTTCCTGATCCGTTGCTTTATTAATTCTACGCAATCACACGCGCACTCGCTACCTCCGTCGAATTTGTCAATGGGTTACGCTCGCGTCAGGAAAGCCAGACAAACAGACGGAGAGATCGATGTACATGATGACACACCACTCGGTTGTACTAATGGTAATAATAGCTATAAACTGTGTTAATTTTATGGGTACTGCTGCTGCTGCTTCGGGGGGTCGTTAGCAGTAGTATTCACGGATGGCGGATAGCGGTAACCATCGTCGTTGTTGTAGCCGAGCAACCCAATCAAATCGAAATCTCCAACATTCACTGATTCACAGTCCAATGGCGAGACAGGTTGGGGTGGTGATGTTAGTTATAATCGTGATAATCACTGATCGATCGTTCTTGTATAGGGGGGCATTGGCGTTAGCCGGGTGGTTCTCATCAATAGGTTTTACTGGCTGGCTGAATGTCAGGGGGTGGCGGGTGTGCGGACGGGGATGGTAATGGTCAGGGCGCTGGCCGCAGCAACGCGAATTGGAGTTAACTGCCGGCCGCTAACTGCTGTTAAATCGTTCGTTCACTCGCGAACTACGCCAGTCGCCGCCGAGCCGAGCGATAACTATGGGGACGACGACACACCAACTGACCGATCGGGCAGGGGGGAAGGAGGACGAGGAGGAGGCAGAGAATGACCGTTGTTCGGTAACACTGGCTGAACGATCAGCAACAACAACCGAGGCACTGCTGATATTGTAACAGCGACTACTGGCTTGAGTCGCTCGCTAGCGACAAGCAGCTAAATAAGAGCACAGCAGCGGGATTAATGACGCCACCGGATCGAGCCACCAAACAACAAGCGCGATCGAGCGACAGTTTACCGCTATTCTCTTCGTTAGCCGTCGTTTTACTCCTTTATTTCTTGCCAATCAGTTGACTGGCTGGCTGAATGGGTGGTAGACTGGTTTGGTAGGCGTTTAATACCTCGCCTGTCCGTCTTGTCGTCTACTTCGTTGATGCTGTTGGTCTGCCTGCCTTACAGCCTATCTCTGGCAGACTGATTGGCAACTTTGCTGCTAGCCCGATTTGCTTCGTTTTGTCGTCTGTTTTGTCCGTAAGCACAACTGCTAACGGTGGACACCCCCGCCACGACTGACTGTTATTACTGTTGCTGCTGCTGTTATTCACACTGACCGTATCGCACTGCTTCTTCCCGTTCAGTCTGACGACTGAGGCTTGTTCGTGCTGCTCGGCTCAGCGCTCTCCGAGGATGTTACTGCTCACCATGCTACTGCTGCTGCTGTTGGTAGTGGTGCTGCTGCGACGGCAGCTGAAGCTGCTGAGAACTTTCACGCATCACACTACTACAGAACTAATTCATTCTGAACTCGCAATTCAATACACGACTGATGGCGGCACGGCACAGCCATTAGCAGAGCCGCTGCGCTGCTGCTGCTGCTGCCTCAGCGAGAGACGACGACGACGACGACAGAAAACGCACAGCCAGATCTGCTGGTGCTGCTGCTTTGCTGCTGTGGGCACAGACAGTGGCGCGAGGCAAAACGCCTGCAGCATTCGCTAGTGGCTACTCACTCGCAGTGAGCGCGTTCACTCTCCGCCGTTCACACGGACGCCGCCGCCGCCGCCGCCGCCGCCACCGCTGCGACCGCCACTCAAAAACGACAGAGCTGCTGTTGCCAAAAAGCGAGCGAGCAACCTAACGACTAGCGACAGCAATGACGATGAACTGATGATAATAATGGTGGCCGGCTGGCTGATTGAGTGGTTGCTGCATGCAGGCTCGCTCACGCGCTGGTCGGGTCGTCACACCCAGGTGTGCTGCTGTGAGCAGCGGACATTACTGCTGCTGCTGTTGTTGGTCTCGTCTGCACTTGCCGCTGCTGCTCCGGCATGACCGCGTCACTCACCACTAACTGACACGGCCACCCATGGGAAGTAGTAGTCGCCGCTAGCTCTCTCGGCCCCTCCCCTTCCCTATTTCTAGACGATGACACAGCACCGTCAGTTTCGTCAACTCAGAAGCATACAGACACAGACATCGATCGTCTTAAAGGCGCCCGCAAGCCGATTTCATTCAGTCTTATTGCTGCGAGTGGTTGCCAGGCCTCCGCTGTTGCTGCAGCAGCTCTATGACCCGCACTATTCCCAGCGGTTCCGCTACCCGCCAGCGGCGCCCTACTGCCCGCTGCCGCGCTATACTGTGGTGATCGTGCCACTGCTAAACTACTGCTCGTCGGCTAACAGACGGACAGAAACATAGCGACGGCGGACGGAGAAGTGCCTATTGCTACGCTCAGCTTGTAAGGATGCTGCGCGATCGACGAAGACGGCTGAGGTGGAAGCGGCAGTGATGTAGGCCGCTGTTACCTCCGCCGCTACTGCTGTAACTTGAGCGGATGCAACACCGCGTCAGGGAAAGGGAAGCAACAAAGTAGACAGTCTCTAGTGACGCCAATCCTTGATGGACGTGCTAGCGCTATTCTTTTCTACAGATAAGGACCATTAGTGTGATCGGGCTAACGTCATGGGAGTCACCTATGGTGCCACCTAATTTTTGTTGATCAATAGAACCATTGCAATGTTAGCAAAACGCGTTCTAAGCAGCCAATGCGAGTATCTACTAATATGAATCGCAGGACATTTTAGGTAGAAGTGTCGCGAGTTGTTTTAGCGTTAAGTATGTAATGCTTGAATGACGCCTGACATGGCATTAGTGACTGGGCTGGACCGGCCTTGGGGAGAGTCTTTAACAAATCGTTATACATTTTGGAAAAGAGCGAGAATCGGAAGGTAGACTGCGGTGGAGGGTTGACTTGGCTGAGCTCTCGAGAGTTTTGCAGGCCAATTTGATGTTCAAGTGGGAAACTGCGCACTTTAGAAGGATTTCAGTCTTTGAGCCTGTTTTAGATTATCATTTGTGGTAGGTTTATCTGTATCAAATCGCGTAAGGCCTAGAACGAAGAGCACAATCTGAGAGGTCTACTAGCCAATAATCCCACCTTACTCCATTCGCGCTATGGTGACAAGCGCAAGAGACAGGCCTCTAAGGGGGGATATCAGAGTTCTGCAATCGCTATGTCAGGTGGACCCACTGTCGAAGTAACTATCATCTAGCCAATACAAAACATGACATTTGCCTTCAGCAGCCAGCATCCATTCGGGTCTGAAACCGAATTCGCCTATGTGAACGGGGACAAGAGCCACGAGATGAATTTCCTAGCCTTTTTCGCTTAGTCACGATTTTTTTTTACCTCGTATGTCCTGAGCGTAATTTCTGTGCGTTTATGATCGTATAGAGTACTGTAACTTATCCGGGAATCTGACTAGTCGATCTAATTAGGTGGACACCTGCCGCCACATGTGTAGTTACGCGTACAGCCATAGTTCCATAATTCTAAAGCTTATTGAGAAATCGAACGAATACAACCAACGACAACGCGACAATTTCCTAACTACAATATAAATCGTTGATCGCTACATCATATTGAATTTGAGGAAAGTTCACTCTTGATTTTATGATTTATCATAGAATTAAAGTTGTCATATTGAGCACAGCGATAGTATGCATGCTTCAACTCGACCGTTAAACTGAACTATTTTATCCATTGAACAAATGTCTGTCCTTACTCGAAGCCCAAAACGTTTCTTCAGATGGCTTTTTTGTGTTGTATATTAGCAGAGAGCTAGTATACAAAGCTTAGTCGCAGCGCAGAATTACCATTCACTATTTAACAATATGTACAATAAAATGGGCAGAAGGCCATGGACAATGAGAAATACGGGAACAATTTTAACATTGAATTTTGGTTTCTGTTTTGTGTATTTAAGGCTTGACACGTGGCTTAATAGCAGGACATCGAACTACTTCGATGTCTTTTCACAAGCGGCGTAGGATTAAACCGCTCACTTAACTTGGCACAAACGTGTTTGAACTTTCTTTATTAAGGCTACACGAGATCAGTTCAAGCTAAACAAGCACAAATCGCTGAAACTAACAGTAACATAACTATCAGTAAAACTACAAGGTCGTGTACTAGTGCGTAACCTTAACTTCTTTTTACAAACCAACAGCCCCGTTTTGTTTCGTCGACCGAAAATCTTGATGTAAAGAGGAATGATAATTGAACGCACGATTTTGGGTTCGATATCTCTCAATTGTTTCTACAATTATTGATAGTTAGCCTATTATGTTTGGCTATAAAAGGTAACGTGAAAAGATAAGGTCGAAAGCGAGTAAGGATTCGGGTCCTGTCGTCAAGATAGGACCGTGGCCGATTACGCGAGTGTCCTGTTTCAGGCTGTGTAGGAACGGCGAAAGCAACATACTAGAAACTAGCATTTTAAGACTGCAGTTTATTAGGCGTAGATGAAATTCGTTGTTTGAATCTCTCTCTAAAGGGTTTAACTGAAAGTTGATGGTGGTGTGAGGTGCTAAACTATGCTTTCTCAAAAGGCTACGCCCATTAAAAATTAAGGAACCACTGAGGCTGCATATAGCGATAATTATTTTCGTAAAGGCAATACATTTCTTCAAACATCTAAGCATTAAAATTAAGGTGGCAACGAATCATTATATATATAGTGGTACGTGAAAATCAGGAAAATTTTTGGGTAATCATTATAACAGTGCGTCGTTCTTTAAAGTTTGGCGAAAATAAGGTACAATCTCGTATTTCCATGCTGAACAAATTCCCACCAAATATGAAAATTTCGTCTTTTAAGCCGGAAAACTGACAGTTTACATTAATGCAAATTATTGTACGATTTTGGGAAATCCGATGAAACCTGTTATGGGGAAAAATAGAAAAGAGTTTAGATTTGAAGGACTCAAAAATGTATTAAAATCTCTAAAAAAGAGACAAGTTTTTAATACACAAAAGGTTTTTGATACACAAATTAGCGGCTGTTTTCAGATGAGAACGCCAGTTGCCACTTAGAACGTCTAGACAAACCTCAACAGTTGATCTTTTTAAAACTTCTTGAGCCTTTTTGCATCTTTCAAACTGTTTAGCCATTTTGAGCCTGTTTCCAAAACTTTGGCGTGTTATTAGTGCCATATTTAATTACGTTCGATTTTCTGAGCGACATCTGAATTTACGTCCACCAATATTGTCTCACGATTAATAATCTACTGGTAAAGTTATCTGCGGAGTAGAGAACAAGTATTTTGAAAATGATTTGTTAGGGGTTTAAGTCCCGAATCGAAACTGTAACGGTATATTGAATAAGCATGACCGTCCAGAGCGACACTTTTAATACATATAAAGAACAGTTATAAAAATATTTGTTTTTATCTAGACATTAATTACAGAACGAAACATTCAACAACAAAATTCTCAATTTAAACGTGCTACCCTGTATACTGGAACAAATATATATATATATATATATATATATATATATATATATATATATATATATATATATCCCAGTTGCATTTATTCAATTTAATTACACCTTCGTTGAGAATTACAAGAATAATTATTTTTAAGCAGTTATACGTGTTTATAGGCCAAAGACTTCGACTCAATCCTGATTGGTTACAGCCAATTTCAAACGCTCACAAAAAGCAAAGCGCATGTTGACATGTGTGTTCTAGACGAAGAAATAAAGGGCTGGAAAAGTAACGTAAAAGCAGCAAGCAGAGGTGTAGAATGCTGACAGGTCTTCTTTCCGCTGCCGGGTGTCCTCTGTATCCGTAAGTAATGCGAGAAACGTTATCCAACATCCACAAAATATTACAGCAAAGGATCGTGGTTTAATGGTTATTAACTTGGCCAACCGCGTGGCCTTTAGCGGTTTCGAAGGAACCGCTAAGTGATTCTCACACTGAGGCCCCATCTCAGACTACTAAGGGAAAATCTGCAAGTGTCTTAGTCATGCATAAATGTATTCGCTTAGATTTTCTAAATAAAGTTACATATGTTTACAAGCAACAACGAGAATTCTTATTACTCATAGTATTGTACTTACAAACAGTCATAAACAAAGAAAACCAACGGATTAAGATTTTTGATCCCCCTATGTTTCGATTTTACGTCCAGTATCGCCGTTAGGCATTCTTCCAGACTGCTGCCTTCACTAAGCTCTCACGGGGACAAGATTATTGATCATACATATTAGATTATTGATTCATCGAAATCTTAAGTAGTGAAACGAGCTAAAAAGGCCAACAGTCTGGGCATATTTAAGGTATGCATTACTAACCTAAGTAATTGTATATATGATTATCTTTAAAAACCTAACTCCAAATCAAGATTCGAAGGTAATTTCGCCATTTTTCTTTAGTCGTGATCATTTCCGTTTAGACAGCTTAAGCCACATTCACGTCAAAATCATTCAATCAGAGATAAACTAATATTTCCTTTAGCCTTGGAATATTCTATAGAAACTGCACCATCTTGCACCATCCGAACGTGATCCTCCGGATCACTGCTTTAACGCTATCACCTTTAAAGGATATAAGGTATGCTTCGATCCCAGCGACGGAATGAAACCATTCTGATTGTGGAGCACTTATCATTTTTCACAATTCTCTCGAAAACCCTCTCAGCCCTCATAATTGTACGACTTTTTTTTATATCAATGTTGCTGTAATGCCATTATAACAAGCACCTTCTCTATGATCATTGGCTTTGCTTCTAATTAGTTTACCGTTTTAGAAGTGCAATAAAAGCTCGGACGGTGGTTTACATTTGCAATAAAGGCCTTCTGTAAAATGATGTCGCGTATTGCAAAACATTTTCTCATACATCAAGACTAAAGTTCCGGAAATGTTCATAACAAGCCCATCGCCTTCTAATATATCATTGTTAGATATTATGTGAAGAGCACTTCCAGATGCACTTGATCTTATCGCTTCTGTGTAAGCATCCTTTGCATTGGTTCTCGCTAAGGTATTATTCTATACGCAGAACTGCTTTCATAAACGAGTCGTTTCTGTGCAATTTGTCCCACATGAGAATTTCTCCAATCTGAAACGGCCTTTACAAAAGCTTTTTATTTTCAGTAGATTAACTTTCCAGTTAGACGCAACTAATTTTGGCGCAGTAAGCCAGGATTAATGGGTCTAGAATGGCAAATGCAGTCATGTCCTTTTGGGTTTATCAATGAAGTTGCTTGGTTGTTAGGCTTGAATTCAAGCAACGGCACTTTTTTTTTTAATAATTGTTCTCTGTTTCCTTTACGTTTCTAGCATTTTCATATTCAAATATGCAAATTTAATACCGTTTGAATGTACACTCTCTCCTGCATTAGTCCACTGTAATTTCATTGTCCAATGAGAAAATTTGATCTCTAATTTCTGCTCCGAAGAACACGGATGTTCCTGACGAAAAGCAATGGGTTTTCGACGTCTATTTTTCGCTTTTTTAATGAAATCAAAGAGCTTAACGGGGTGGATTCCAGGTGTAGAAGGTCTGCTTAAGGATAGCTTCCGAGGTTCACTAATGCCACCTTGCAACTCTAGCGCGCACTTTCTTCTGACTTCTTCGCTCAGCCATACAAAATTAATGAAGACCGCCTGAAGAAAGATAGACGATTGAAAAACAACTTATAAATTGTATGGGAAAATTGATTGTGGTCATCTGATTTTCGGCAAGTGTCTTAAATTTCGCCGTGCTAGCTTAGTGGATAACGTATTTGCGTGATAATCTTAGGTAGGGGACGTTGTGGTCTAGGTTCGGAGCCCAAACACCAGACCGAACATAAAGCTCGAAACACAGAGGTGTCTTGAATCTACGAGGATGCTAAACCATGAGGAACCCCATAAATTAAATGAAAAGAATATACAACTTCGGCTTTCTAAGTCTTCCAACATTTTGATTTGCACCAGACAAGACACAGTCACGACAGCAGGTTTCTATACAGAATCGCTACGAATGACCAGAGTAATATATTTACGCCGATCTAAAGCAGAAAAAGGACTACAGGGACAGAATATAAAAAATAAGCATATTTTGCAGTTAGTAAAGCTGGAAAGGTCTTCTAAAGCAGGAAATGTTTGAGAAAAAATACAGCCTGCATATGGTAAGGATCTGCACATGGCTGACACCGCACAGGGACGATAGAAAACGCGATGTTATCCTTGTCCAAGCCAACGCCAGGTCATACATTGAAAACTCACGGAAGCTGGTCTACGAAAGTTCAAGTGAGGGCTCCTTTACATCGATATCCATCTCCAGATCTTGCACCGGTTACTTCCTTTTCAGATCAACAGCAGACCTAAAAATTTCTAACGATATCAACCAAATAAACTGACTGAGAAGGAAAGGTTGTAGAGAGTGACTATGAGCACATAATAAATTAATGTTTTGCTAGAGTTTAAGTGACACGCTGCGTTTTTGTTAAGTGAAAAACACGCCGTTGTTTAGGTCTCAACGTAACCTAACCTTAGTCAAGCTGTTTACTAAGCGAATGATAAAAGATCGGATTAGAAAGAAGATATGACTGTAAGCTTTTGCTAGACTGTTGATGAAAGCTTATACACTTCATACGTGATGATACACTGTGAAACTGATAGTCGGATCGCATCTAAGTCCGTAACTATGAAGTTTTAATCTCAGAGCTGAAGAAACGCCAGTAATAAAAACCTGCTTATATTGATGCAGTCGAATATAGACAAAATGTGTTTTTTATTCTCTGTAACATCCCAAACCCCTACGATTTTCCATGCAAACCACAACTATTGTTCTATATATTTATTATATATATATATATAAATATATAATATTTATGAATACTTTTCTCTATCGAGTTTTTTTCCTACTTTTACTGCAGCATACGGCAAGGAAATTTTTTTATTTATTAAAATGGGACGCTAACAAAGAGATGTGTAATCATAAAATTGCTTGTACGCAACATACGGAAAGTACTATATTGGATCAGAGAATGTTCTCTTTATTTGACCCTTCCTCAACGACGTCGCAACGTTCGGTTGGAGAACTGGCATTACTTGATAGCACCTACATAGTATCAGAGAGAACCCCTTTCCCACTCACCCTCTCCAGAGTAAAGGAGGCGGTTGTAATACTTGTGCCCGCGGTTAATTTGCTAGTTATAGCGCATGTCTGATCGTACAGTGTAATCACTTCCGCGCGAAAATAGCAGCTAACGCGCGCGCCAAAGTTTTAGTTACATCAGGACCGACTACTTTCAATATAAAATGCAACTTTAAATGTGTCATCAGACTGCATCTACTAAGTAGTGACCTACTGAAACAATTAGAGACGCAACATAGTTACTTCATACGAGGCCCTACGAAGTTCTGCCTTCATTGTAATTTGGAATCGTAACCTGCTAGGAACGCGTTAAGAAGATAAGATTTTTAATAGGCATCATAATGATGACTTATAGAATCAACGTCGGATTAGTGAGTAGCTTTTTTGTCTTCTTCAAAGCTAATTGTGTAACTGATAGCTTCATCATCGAATAAAGTACAAGTGAAGGCTTTTAAAGAGCAGGAGAACGACAATATTTCTAATTAAGTTTTTCGAGGGACATTAGTTACAGCGTTACAACTTGAACTAGTATTCTGAGTTAGCTCAGGGTTCGAGCTTTATTCGAGCCAGTAACTGCAAGCTGCAAAATAAAATTATGATAGGGGTGAATGTCTTCTTATCATAAAATTATGTTATATCATCGACGTACCTTACCATGAAAATCATGATTGAGGAACATACCATCACCTCATAGTACCGTTGAATAAGAATGTTTGTGGCATGTCAGTTGAACTTGACGCTGAGCATTCGTCGAGTTGAATGACTTCTACGGTACGCCCTAACATACCCTAAGTCCCTAATAACTTTTTGATTTGTAAAGGTTCACTGTTTGAGAATGAATGAAAAATAATTACATCCGAACCCAATTTAAATTGCTATTCAAGTCGATAACATTTAGTACGCAAGATTTTTTTTGATCAATATTTTAAAAAATAGCTAGAACTATAAAACTATTTAAATACATTAGTAACTGAATCACATTGCATCTTTCTCACAGGAGAGCTAAAAATCTTTAAAAATAAGCTAAAGTTTTAAAATTGAATGTAACCAGTATATCAATGTGGTTTCAGTTGCTCTGAAGTACGGTAACGTTAATTATGTCAACGCCATACTTCAACTCTATTTGAGGGTATATCGTTGTATGTGAATAATGAATAACCGAAACATCAAATGCTTAGCTGTAAACAGTATAGTTATCTATCAAAACTGAAAAGCTTAGTAAATATTGAAAAAAGAAAAACTCGAGTCCAAGATTCGTCCTTGTTGAACGCTTCTGCTTTGGTTTTACATCGTATTTGACTTCGTACTCTGTTCTTTGAAAAGACTAAATTTAAAGGCTAACTTATACCAGGAAAGCTATCGAAGGATACAAGGTTATACAAGGACAGTATCGAAGAGGTCCAAGTTATTGAAAAGCGTGGAAATGCATCACATGGTCGGAAGTAAAGGCTATTTTAAGGCGAAAACTAGTTTCTTCTTTGATATAATACAATTGTAAAATATTCATTGCCCGCACTTTTCAACGGATCATCTAATTTGCGGTTATAACTGCGGTTTCACGTATTTATGGACTCAGTAATAGCGCATCTCTGCAAGCCCATGATGTACATTGAAGATGCCTCATTAGAAAAGGTAAGCGCACACACGGTATTGCAGATATTTTTTCTTATTTCGTGGGTTGTCTGCCAGTGCAAACGTTCAAAACTGGCCTGACTCATATTAGGCTCATAGAGCTCATTTTGTACTACTCTACGATTATTTCGATATAAGGATCGCTTTTTTGATTGCGAAATCGAAAACTCGTTAGCGTACTTTGATCGCTTGCCCTTTCAGCAAGGATGCGTTATGCGAGAAAACGATTCGAAAGCGTCAAGAATCAGGCTTCATGCAGAGCAAAGCTCTGCTGCTAACTAAAGCATATACGTTTTAACGTATAATTATTTCTTCAGAGGTTCCTACACTAGCTCTCTTGCTCAAAGTTCCTTAAGTATGAACGTGCTTAACAACGGGCTTCTTAACTTTTTCCCTATCAGAGTTTTTACCATTTACAAATTTATTTGTTATGGTTTCATAATAACGTCATTACGAACAAGAAACTAACGGTTGTTTCGGATACCGAACGATTATCCTGACTGAAATAACGTATGACCGGTGTTGATAGCGCATTGGAAAAAAGCACAATTAATTTTAAAAAATGTATTCAAAGCTATTATGAACTAGAATCTAGACGCTACCTTGGTTACACTCGAAGAAATCGAAAACTTGCGTCAAAAAAACTACACGGACTTCGCCATTTCAAGAGTCGAATTATTATTATTGTTTTCAGCATGGCGCTAGGTAGCGCCCAGACTCAAGCGTACGAATGATCATAAATATTGTGCTAAAACACTGTTTTGCCAATCTTTCGAAACAATTTAATGATTTTGAATATAATTAATAATAGAGTATCTGTATGTACTACTGATATCTAACAAATATTAAGAAATATTCGCCAGCTCATTGATGTTGCATACATTCTTTAATAATGTGATAAATGCTTTGTAATTAGGGCTATTAAACGCTCATAACCTGTTTCGGTGATTAGAATTAGATCGAAATCAAACGAAAAATACATGCCACAGTTATCACTGCTAAGTGTGTTTGTGGTCCATATATATATGTGTGTGTGTGTGTGCGTAATGTTTTTAAATCATACAGCACGTCTTGTAGATTATCGATTACTGGCGTTCGAAAGAAGAAAATGGAAAAAACCTAAGAGACCAAGCAGATTGGAGCCCTTGGGTTGGTGATGAACTATTTTACCATTTAGAATACTGAAACAGATACAGGTAATGTTTCCTCTTGCGTGCCCCCCATAGCTAACAGCAAAAAGACGTTGAAGTACACTTGTCCTTAAACATGTATTGCTACCATTAAATACATTATTCAAATACAAACTTCGTTCAGTTCCATAAAACATGACAGCTCGAAGCGCCTGCTGCTTGATTACTGATAATTATCATAGTGCTGAATGACCTCCTTTAGAAGAATACGTTTCAAAACCATTTTGGCATTTCTCAATAGAAGTATTAAATTCGTTTGCGTCAGCTGGAATTCTAGACTTTTTTCGACAATTCGAGCAGCCCGTAGTGCGGCTCTTTTTTGCAGTGAACCATGGTCATGCAAAGCGTCGCTCACGACAGGTGTGTCTTTCACGTCTTTTACACCTCATTATTTAATGAGCAAATAAAAAAAAAAACTAGCCGGTGGCAATCTACACGCCACTCATCTTAATAAAGGCTGACATGAAACAGTTATTTATAGCAACATAGGGAGAAATGTTAAGTTCTTAAAGTGTACTATTGCCATCAAGTGCTCCTAAGAAATATATTCTACCAGCCGACTGTGTCAATGGTCTTTAAATATAAACCCATTGCGTTACGTATGATCTGAGAAAAAAATATACGCCATACATACAAATTGTTTTGTACTAGGTTTTCTGTTAGTGCAGAACATTATTGCTGCTTATCTTGAAATTCGCGTTTAAGATCTAGTTCAAAGCATTACTCAAGGAATGAGTTACATTAGCTCCTTCAGTTCTATCGAATACATCATTTGCTCGAACAATTGAAAACGAGGCCACTGCTCCAAAATACTTACATGCTATATTAAATGAGTAGCTGAGACATGTCGCTTTTCAGTCTTATCCTGTACTCCAATGCAAGTCAGGTTGATTCCGCTCATCTCAAAAGTAGCCATAACTGTGTGCAAATTATCTTCTAGGATTCTCGGTAATCATTTATTCTCTCTTGTCACTTACCCACATGCCACAGCCTGGTGGGTAAGCGCTTCTAACCAATGAAAACTTCACCAAAAAGTACCTTTTTACAGCTTTCTGCTCTGAGGAGGGTTCTGTAAACAAATCCGGAGGTGTATCCACTGTGTAACGTCCACTTAACTATGTTTTTGAAAAGTATTGATCATATCGTCCGGTCTTCCTTGTTGTTAGGTAGATATATCGTTTCATATCCATTACAAATTAAAATTATTTGATTTACGTATTATACACCACTTCGATATGAGACATATTTCCGATTTGCAAATGGTTGCCTTTCGAAAACACTTGCTGCAAGAGTTTTGATTAGCTTTTAAATTATCTTAAGTTTCTGCAGTTAGCAAAGCTAGTTGCGGTTTAAAGAAACCTTTTGGGGCGTAGACCCCGGGAATCCCGGCCATGCAAGATTGAATCGAAGTAATCGATGCATATGAAGCGGCCGGTATGAAAGCGATTTCCCTATTGTGAAGCGGATTAAATTTGGTGAAATGCAGTTCCCTATACTTCAGGCTTGTGTTTGGCGATGCATGAAGAAACTTACTCGATTAAGCTGAATTAATTCACATACACTTAACTAGACACCCCAACGAAGTGCACCGGTTTGCGTCTGTTAGTGTCAGGCCTTCAGAAACCAAGTTCTCGTACAAAAGTGCTGAGCATGACAAGATGCAAACACCCAATCTATGCCTGTCATAGCTATGTTAACCAATCTAACCCGTAATTTAAATATAAAGCTAGAGAGCACGATGTATGTAGACGTCAGTCGGATGGACCGTATATGATATTGACTTCAGGGACATTTTGAAATAAATATTGAGAGCTGTTCGAGGCTTTCTTTTTTAAAGTCTGACCGAGTTCTTTTTAAAGGAATATAATTTCCTTTAATTCCTTTATTATTATTTCTTATAAGGCAATTCTTATAGGGCAAATTATTTCCTTAAAATCTCTGCTTACTAAGAGTAGCCAGCGCACTAGTAGTGCTGTTTTTGTTATGTTCGCAAATTAGTTTTGCGTAAGTATTGAGCAATTTTTAACCAATTCTTTTCTGTGATCCATTCTCGGAATCGTATTGGGCTGAAGTAAGCTGTTTGTTGCCAACCCTTTTCATTTAGTTTTTAAAGATGTCTATTACATTTATTGTTTTATAGGCTGATAATTTTTATTATGTCTTTATAGACTGACCTATCGCTTGAAATATTTTGTATAACGTGCGCTAAAAATTCGATACCAGTTAAATATACCGTCCAGTATTTTATAAATATAGGCGTATAATATAACGCAACTCTATTGTTATGAGTATTTCTCTAAATTACATTGCAGATGTTGCGCTGTCGATCACAAGAGCTATTTGCATAGCAAAAGTGGTACAAATTTGGGTGGGCTGCTGTTATTGAATACGAAAGAAAAAGGACTTAAATCAGTGTTACAAGCTATCGGCATGGTGCCATTCGAAACTAATCCAGTATTGTCTACAAGGGTAAATGCGCCGACCGTAAGGCCCACATTTAATTCTATTAAAATCCTAAATATCTGAGTTACCTTTACATGGACTACGTGGCAGTGTTTAAAGGTAACTCAATCCGGATACACTGTTATAAGTAAGAAAAATAGCAAACAACAAAAATGAACATAGTCGTATCTCAACGACCCAATATAGAGCGCCTGCAGAAGTAGCAACATTAATAGGAGCAACAACAAATATGTTTCACGTGTTTCCCGCCGTCCTTATTATTCGTATGTTATTGTTGAGACTGATTGTTCGTTCTTTTCTATCTTTCTTCTAATTATGGTCCGTGGCGCCCACTCATGTACCTTACTATCTGTTTACCTGCGTCTATACGCTAGTCGATAGCCGCTAGCCGCATGAGTCTGGATGTCGATGTCTGCAATATGGATTGGTCAGGTGCTAGCTCACCTGTCGTCTGCCAACGAAGGCGACAGCTAAAGCAGTAATAATGTTGCGGTAACGGACGCCTGCTTGATCCATAGAGATTACTTTTACATGCGAAAAACAAGATTTTATTTTGCCTTATAAGGTGACTCTTCGTATACCATTCTCCTTCTATTAGTTGGCATCTTTCCGCTTTTGCCATTCCTGAGAGCCGTTGCCATTGCCGAATCGTCGTGGAACGAGCCAGCGCGCAAAATGCCTACAGTATTGCTTCTGCTGATATACTATGGACAGAATCACGACCGCTAGAAAGGCTCAGAACGCAGACAGGCAGGTTGACGCCTGTCTGTCCATAGTTGTTGCTACTGCCTCTGAAGTGTATGTCGCCCATCAAAACGATGGTGAAGCTAATTTTTTAAATACTTATGTCTGAAAACTAAACGGAGACACCATCCGTCCAGCATGCACACAATTTTTAAATGTTCAAACAGAGCGCGAGCTAATCATAATAATAATATATGATGTACGCTATGATACGGTAGCTCTGTGCTTCGTTGGCTCAAAAAGGTAGTCAAATAAGATCCACTGTGATTCAGTACAGGAAATACACAATTATAACATCAACAAGGTTTTCGTCAAAGAAGGGATAGACATCTAATCGTTGACATCTTCGTGAGCTGCTTTGGGAAACGCTATACGCTATCCGCAAACATATAGAAAAGAAGACAAGCTTAGTAGTTTATTGAAAAAGCTAGGTTACTAAGACCAGTATAAAGACACTCTGACATATGGACAAGTTTAGTGATTTCTAACCTTTCAAGTTCATCCTCGTAATCTATTAGTGCGTTTCATGTTTAAAATGTGAAGTTCAATAATAATCTATTGAGACTGAGTGTCGCGTCATCAACTAGAGGCTGAGGCTCGAGACCGTGTCAAGCCGTATCATGTTGACAATATCGCACGTAGAATAAACAAAGAAGAATGATGAACCCCGATCTTTAATTCAAAATATATTTAGTAGATAGCTTTTCACAATTCATTGATATAACTTCACAGAAATGCCACCACTACAATAAAACGCTTTTTGTTTTCAACAAATGTCACAGATGCCTTTCCTGTATATAATGGAACGCGCAGCGATTCCAATGCAACGCGATATTGTATTATATTACGAAAGCAAATTCAATTGTTAAGTTCGCGAAGTCTTTTATAGCATGGAAGAAAAAAATGTCTTAAAAGGTGTGATATGTGTCAGAACTTACAGAGCACTGAAGGTATTGAGGTACTACGGTGGCCAAGTACTCTAAGTACCACATGGTGTGTGTGACAGCCTGTCTGAAGAGTAAATCTGTGGTCTGCATTGAGCCTTGATTGAGTTTCATGCTGCCGCGTGAAGTGGAACACTGTACTGAGTTATGCTGTATAAATGTTATATAAGTTTTACCGAGACGACGATACCAAATGAGGGTCTTGACCCGCATTCTGATCCTGGTCCGCTTACAGGCAGTTATGGCCGTTGTGCTATGCGCGACGATTGGATGCAGCTACGCCACGCAATGCTACCTATGCAGGTGAGTCTCCGTGATAGCGCAGTGTTTGTTCGGTGCAGTGTAGGTTCGAATCTGGGAGCAGACACATGGTTTGTTTCGTCCTGGGAGCCAGCCGTATGAAGTAATGCCTAATAACTCAAGTACTGAACGCAAAACAAAAAAAAGCCTAACCTATATTAGTGTAATAAAGTACAGGCGGTCTGCCTTACGGCACATACAGTTGAATAATGTAATTAAACCTAATATCAGCTTTTAATAACATACTCGGTTCTTATAACGACTCTAGGGCCCCTGTGGAACTTAGGTGTATTCGGGGAAACTTGTTGAATGTGGTAGTGCGTGAGTTAGCTAAGAGGCGGCTTCTGAACGCTCTAAGTCCACAACGTTGTCGTTTAAGTCTAGAACACGATGGACGATTCAATAAGACAAAAAAGTGATTTTTTGGTATCGATGTAGCTTTAAATATGCTTTAAGTTTACTCTAAGTTCCGCTAATGCTAATAATTGCAGTTGGAGTCAGAAGGAAGAGGCTCTTGGTGTAAATCACACAGCCAAATGTCGCGATGAATTTTTCCGCCCTGATAAAATATCGGCCACCCATTGCGACTACGGCTGCGAACTACACATCTTCAAAGACCTCAACGGTAATAATTTGCTCAAATTAAAGCTTGTAACATGTTTGACTTAATACGTAATGAGACACAAAGTAAGAGGCAATAACAGAATACACGTTTAATTAAAAAAATCTAACTGACATCTCAAATTTTCTTTTTAACATTTTCTAATGCTAACAACAACAATGTCTTCATCGTGACATGCTCGTGATCATTTCGTTTTTCTGTTAATAAAGTTACAACAGCGCTATACAATTTAGATAATAATTGCCCTTCAGATATGCCGTAAAGGTGCCTCACTCGTATATATGCGTTTACTCAAACCGATAAAATCATAAGATTATATTAGAGTTGCACAAATTCATCTAGAGAAAAAGATCATACTTATCATCTACTTGTGTGCATACAAAAACGGACTGGCTAGCTTTGCCATTAGCTGGTAGAAACAGTCGCTTCGCAGGTATCCCCTTTGATCTTGTACGTAGATGTGCATTCATTCACAAATTGATGTTATATTTTCTTTGTTACACGCTTATCCATCAAGATGCTCATTTAGATAATTTTATGTTCAAACGGAAAAATGAACAAAGGGAAAGTGAGGACAAGGAATCCGGCGGTATTTTTACGCCGACTAACGAGTAGCACAACTGCTGACCTTCGACGCAATCGGGGGTGTTCCGTACGAATCCACAGCAATAGGCTCAGACATTCAGATCTACTGACGGTCCGCAGGACACCTTGTTGTCGTGGTCATGCTCGCAACGATAGCGGCTGTACATTCCGGCCAATTACGTTCATGCTCACCTGTCAACAAAAAATCTACGGATTTCTGGTTCGAGGCAGAGGGGCGCGCGTGTGTACCTTTCCCTCGGACGTCGGCATACGTCGCAGCAGTTTACGAACGCTCTACTTGATATCCCCTTGTACGAAAAATAATATGCTACTAGTACTGTTCTGCTAGGATTCGGGTGACCTTATGAGAGGTTGAAAAGGCCAAAAGGTTCGGCTGATTTCGGCAGAACTAATCCTGATCCTCACAGGCTAATTCGACAAAGCATACCTTTGCTGAAAATGAACCCAGTGAATTCTATTCTTTTCGTAACGTTTACACTACGGCCGCTTACCAAAGGCTGGCTAATCGATGCTCCAGGATCGGCGCACAGGGTTTGATATTTTTAAATAGGAGAATACAGGTTCTAGAAGCCTACTGGCTTCACAGTAGCAACACGTCTGGGGTCTGCGACCCTGGTTTACCTTGCCTTTAATATCGCAAATTCTACTTGCAGGCGCAATCCGTTGATGTGCCCTTCTCTGAATAGTAGCAATAACCGGAATCCTTTTTTGATAAGTGCGCCCTCGGAAGTGGGTATCAAATATATAACTTAAGTTCGGACCGAGTCCTTTGACGTTCGGTTCGGACTGCTCAAACTACCTCCGCGTATGAATCGACTTTTACAACTGTGTTAGCTGCCAGGAACACGCTGAACATAGCTTCACCTTCAGGTAATTCAGCAGTCCTCATTTAGCTCGCACAAACTATCAAACATCTTCCAGTTCCTCCTGTCGCGGCGGAAAAACATTCCGGCAAGCAGGCCTTCTCAAGGGGAAAGTACTCGTATAGCTTCTGCTTAAATTCTCACACGTGCCCCATCCCCACATCGACGCGCCGATTTCCTGACTTAATCTTTTGGCTGTTTCCGTTCCTGTTCTAACCACTTGTGCTCCTCAACCCATCGTTTAGGCTTCCTTTAGGCAAACGCCATCGGAGGCGACCTCTTATTAGCCAAGCGTTCGAACAACCCGTGCGATATTCCGACGACACTGCCATAGGTCCTACCATTACCACCAAAATAAGGCGGATTGACTGAGTTTTATTGCTGGCTAACAGAAGCAAGCGTTTCACAGCCACTTGCTCTGATCTTATATAACAGCAGATGTATATTTACTCATACATTAATATTATATTTCCTTCGTTACAAGATAGATGATTAATAAATGAATTAATTACAGGTATAATTGAGTCCGTTCGGCGAACTTGCGGAAAAGAACCGAAGTCGCGGATGGACATTAGTAGTGGTTGCAGTGCAACCCGAATGCGGCAGGTTAACATTTATTCAGCTAAGTTGATACACAAAAAGAAACTCGAAAAACAAACACATTCTATCTGCCAGTTAATCCAAAATATAGCACAAGCTATTCTGTGGTATTCTGGAACAGCACAATAAAAAAGATTCGATCAAAGCCATATTAAACAAAAATTAATATCCGATACTCACATGCATAACTTACATCTCTTGTAATAATAAGTAATTTACAAAAAAATAATCAGCATAGTTATACGATAATGTGGATTTTTTTTTGTGTAACTTAATTACAATGGATTGAGTAGGGGACCACGAAAATTTGTCGCTGTCAAACGGATTATTGCAACTCATCGCGAGGGACCGTCATTGCCTCGTTAACGCTCACTTTTGTTGGAGTTCTCATAGCTGCTATGTTCTTTCTGTGGAGATGCTGACCACCGACAAAAGCTCAGACATGACCACGCTTTCTCGTCAAATGTTGGCACCGGATAAAGTAAAAGCAATTTTCTATGTTTGCACATACAATCCGTCATCACATGCACGTAGCCTGCTAAAGTGCGGCATAATTAATATGAGTGTAATATTCGTGAGATGTATGAAACATTAAACTCGAGTTCATAATAGATATTGCTCTAGCTGAGAATCGTGGAAACAAAATAACTTCAGCGCTATGTGCTGAATATAGACATGTACTGTAGTCAAAACACATAAGATATACATTAGACTATTATGAATATTTCAAGCGACCTGCTGAATATATGTTTGCTTAGAAAATCTCAAGGTACTCATACTTTATTACAGTTTAGTCAGAATTAATTGATCAATCCAAAAGTCATATGAAATACGTGCCATTTTGTAGCTTGCTTGATAAAAATTTATAATTACTTCCACAAGTGTGTTTTTACTATAATAAACTCTTCTAACGTCGTTAAGCAGCGTTTGTGTGTTCTTAAATATTGTGTAAGTGACAGACAAACACTTATGGGACTACATAGATTACTATACGCATGACATAAATGATCAAACAATTTAGGATCTATTTGAGACCCAAGTTTATCCTACATTCATTTCCTTAAGTTTCTCCAAAGGGTGGTTGCTGTTTCCGTAAATAATAATGTCGTAGTTATTTTTACGACAGTTTCGTAATCATGTTTGTATCGAGTAGCAGTAGAGGTCTTTGCCGTAATAAATTACGGATTATGTGGATTATGCTGTACTGCTGTAGAAAAAGTATCGACTTTTTGCTTTTCTACTCTTTTTCGACTGACCAAAAAACTTGAAACTAACATATAGACACACTTATACGTGTACTAGCACGTAATTACATAATTAAATTAATATTAAAATAAAAAGCTAGATAATCTCTAGTCGATGTGCATGGTCCCTGAGAAAGACACATATCTATTTATCAGCAATGCATAAAAGTATGACGATATTTTTACATAGAAGAATTTTTTTTTGTTTTGGACGATCATTTACTCACATCATGTTTAATACATTTTTTTAGAAGGCTAAAAACTCTACATTTTGATACCTAGACCGAAGGTTTCATAATTACTAGCAAATATTCAATCAACAGAGCTAGTTTTGCTATTTTCTAATTGAGTAGATTCAATTAACTAAGTCGTTTTGTTCCAACAATCAGCCCGCGTAACATTTGCAACATGTCGTGAAGGAACTACTCTATAATATGATAAAGCCAACGCTTACACACATACATTAAACTTGAAACAGCACTATGTGCCTTATTTTATATTGATTAGGAGCGCAGCCAAACGAGCTTAAATTGGTAGAGCAAATGTTGGCCCTCATTTGTTTTTGCACCTTAATTCCGAATATTTTCGTATCTATTTTAGAAAAAGCCATCGATGCAAATAAGTTCTAATAAATAGGACGTCACCCAAAGACAGCACGTTTCTCAAGATGCGTGATTGTTTATCAGAAAGTAATATTTATCGATCAGTTAGACTTTATTTTTCACCCTTGTCAGGTAGCATTCAAACATTTAAAATACATCCATACATTTATAACCATTTGGCAGAATAAACTTAATATACTATACGATAAATATGATAATTTTATTTTATTTATTTATTTTAAGGTTGTAAGACGGTTCCTGAGGTAGTCGACTTCAGATTTAAAGGATTATTCAGGACATACTAAGAATTGCGTTTTACGTTTGGTTAAACTTGTACTCTGCGTAAACTATGATGGAAACTGTGAACTGCATAACGGATTACTGTTCAAATTCTGTCGTCCGTCGCAGTTTTCATTTGGTAGAACTTGAAATTGATCTCTGCGAATTTTCGATTCTATTTTGCCAGGTTTTCTTAGAGTGCTGGAGTTGACAGTAAATCGGAATGGTTAAGGAAGTCTTCGGCAAGCTGTGACGTTGCCGTCAGCAAATAGACAAACCTGTTGCGGGGTGTTTAGTGCGATCTCATAGCTCATTTAAGAAACGAAGCCTTTGTGCGATTCACTTGCTCAAATTTCTCTACAGTAAGATCCTCTTTATTATTATTAATTTTATGATTTGCTTACCTGTATGTGGCAAGTGGTACAACTCCGAAGTCGAAAAGTCGCAGAGCCGTTAAGATGAATACTATCTAAGGGTTAAGTATTAAAGATGGATTTTCAGGCAACGTTAAATGAACATCAAGAGAACAACTTATTTGTTGTACTGTGATTAATTGAAAAGAAAATTATATTGAAAGTATATAGTCTTCAAATATCATTATAGTAGCCAATATTACTGTTGACAACACGACAAAGCCAAGATTTTACAGCTCGACATTTATTTTCCTCAAGAAAATTTCCCTAAAAAGTCAATTCTTCTGCTTACATTGAACAATCGCCCTTACTTTTATGGTAACTGCGTGACACCTAGATGTGTTTTATTCTATGATAAGAATCTTTTGTAAAAATTGCGGATAGTTTGTGCCCTTCACGTTTTTTTTCATGTTTCAGAAAAATGTTTTTTTTGGGACGTCACAGTGTAATACCGTACACTTGCGGCATAGTGCGGTCAAACCGTGATGGATAGCAAACCGTGAACTCTAAGAGGTAATACAAATACGCTTAAAAATGTGTGCTAATTCATATTGTTTCAACTCTCTCTAACTTTCTTTTCAGACTTTATCAAACTAAATTGTCCAGCACATTGCAAGCATTGTGTGCTTTGTATTCTACAGTATCTTATCCACCTATATACAACGAAATATTCGTGCTTGTTTGTTTGTCTGATCCGAATGAACCCGCTAAAGTGGTTGGATTGGGCGGGTACCATCCGGAATAGTGCACAAAATATTTAATAAACACTCTGTCTCGGAGTCAATTCGTTTTTCATCGTACAAAGCGCAATGCTGATTTGGGCAAGTTTGTCGCTTTTTGTAATTCTTGTAGACTTCTGTTATACATGTCCATGAGAAAACTATAGGGGGATGATGTGGGCCTTTTCTCGAGAATTTTTTCCGACGGACAGAACCATACTAGAATATTTACATGAAGGTGGAGGTAAAGAACTTCGAAGAATACTGCAGAGAATAATAAGAAAAAGTAAAAAACATGAAATTGTTGTGACGCCCCATAAACAGTGTTAATATGCCAACCGAAGCATACCATATATCTGTGTCTTCACTCAATTTAGTATTTGCAAATATTTAAAAACAAAAAAAAAATAAAAAAATAGTGGAAGATCTTGAGGCCTTGGTGATGTCCTGTTAGCAGAAATATATATAAAAGAAAAGATGAACAGCTTTTACGCTTAAACAGCGGAGTCTTCAT